TGCTATTAATACGGTTTTCACTCCTCTCTCAAGGCTATCTCAAGGCTACACCTTTTGAAGTGGTTTATGGCCGTCCACCACCTAGATTGCTGTCATACTGTCCTGGTAGTTCATTCGTAGAGGCTGTGGATATTGCATTACAGTCCAGGGATGAAGTTTTGAAGTTACTACGCCATAATCTCCTTCTAGCGCAGCAAAAAATGAAGGCTAATTATGACAAACATCATCGAGATTTGGAGTTCCATGTTGGTGAGCAGGTTTTACTTCGGCTTCAGCCTTACCGCCAACAGTCCATCTCTAAACGGAGCAACCAGAAACTTTCAGCTAAGTTCTATGGGCCATTTACTATTACTGCAAGAGTTGGAACCATGGCATACAAGCTGGATCTACCTTCGGAGTCAAAAATTCATCCTGTTTTTCATGTGTCCAGCCTGAAAAAGTACCATACTGGTTCGACTGCACCTCTTCCAGTTTTGCCACCTCTTCCGCAGGATTCTGTTCAACATCAACCACTTGCTATCTTGGATCATCGTGTGCGGGGTGGACATTTACAAGTTCTGGTTCATTGGCATAACTCTTCTCCTGCTGATGCTTCATGGGAGGATGCTAATCAGTTCCACCATGCTAATCAGTTCCACCACAAATATCCAAACTTTGCGTTTGAGGACAAACGCCTTGTGGAGGAGGGGAGTAATGTTAGCAAGCCTGTCCAGGTGTACAAGAGGTTCACCCATGGACAGAAAGCTAAGTCAGTCAAGTCCAGCAGTTAGCTTCTTTCTGTTTTGTCTGTCCAGCAGTTAGTTTCTATTCTGTTTTTCTGTCTTTCCCATGTTCTGTCATGTGTTTGCTTTCTAGTGGGTGGTTTACCAATTCCACTAGGCAGTAACTTCCTTATTTGTAGAGGCAGTTACTTATATTTCTGTATTTATCTTTCATTCTGTTAATGAATTCAGTTTTGAACTTTTCTACAGTTTTGAGACTTAAACTCAAGAGGTTTTCAGGTCCCTCTATTTGAGCCTGAACGTTCTTGGCAACCATAGGTCCGCAGTAACCAACCATAGGTCGCAGTAAACGCCCTTCGTCATCCCAATCACCCACCAATCCCTCATACCATCGCCCCATAACTAGATCCTTATCTAGGGACCATAACAGAACCTGAACTGATTGGTCCAGTTCGGTTTTGATTCAGTTTTTAACAGGAGTGACCCGAACGGTTTTCAGTTTGTGTTCATTTTACATGCTGGCTAAACCAAATTTTTTTTGCCCAAACTAGTTTATCTGAAACTAAACGAACTGAATCAGTTTGGGGTTTTGGTTCAATTTTGGTTGGCTGTTTTCACTTCAGTTTGATTTCGATTTTGATTCGTTTCAGATCGGTTCAAAAACCAAACCAACCGTTACACAACCCCGAGAGATTTATGAGGTTGTCTGACTTACACGGTTTTATCATTATTAATGGTATAATTTAAATCATTCAATTTGAACCACTAACATAGACATAGTGTTAATTATGTTTAGTAGCATTAATTATGTTCTTATACTATATAGGACTATATCAGAAATGCCTCTCGCTATTCCAAGGTATGTCCACAGTTAAGTTGGGCTTATCCGATGTTTTTTTTTTTTTTTTTTAAATAACATTAGTCCCAGATTAACAGTTTGCTGGTCAAGACTCGAGCACAGAAAATCAGATGTTCAAGTCTTTATAGTTTCTCACAGTTTATGATATAAGAGAAAAAAAGGTAAAGCTATGCCATTCTATACAATTTCGTATAATTAGAGAACAAATTAGAGAGCTAGGAAGAGTTAGAAATTAATCATGTGTATCACAACTGTGCCCTTGTGAACAATTTCTTGCATTCCTAGAACAAAAACAGATAGGTAGGTTCTTGAATTTTAAGGAAAAAAATTCTCTAACCTAGTGATGTTCCTTAGAAACAGACCATATACTATCATCTGGTACAATCTGAGCTCGAGACTCCCTTTTGGACCGTCTCATTTTCTGTTGCTGCACTACTAAAACTGAAGCACAAGTCCTCAAATCTGGTGAAGCAAGCATGTCTCCTACAAATCCTAGTTCAGGACACTCACTCCAATCTTCAAGACCGAAGAAAAGAGCTGAATTGTGATGAAACCTCCCTACTAAAAATAAATCAAAATAGTTTACAATCTTCCCTATACATTGAGATAGCCCCACTCCATCTCTAATCATTTCTTCAACATGTATCAATCTTTCATTTCCGGCATTAGTTTTGTTTATACTTGTTGGAGCAAACTAAGAAATAACAGAGGAAAAAAAAAAGAATATTGCAGGGTACTGTATTTTTATTAACTGCAAATGTGCTTAAATACAACAAAAAAAGGATAACAGAAATTCCTATATTTCAGCTCAACCATGGAACATGCCTCCAACATGCCTCCATTGTTTAACGAAATCTCAGCTAGAAAAATGGAAAATAATGACGAAATGCGATTTAGGAACAAATCAAAACATAACAGAAAAAAGAAAAAATGCAGCAACTAAATTTGGAAGGTGCAGCAGCTAAGTCACACTTCTAATACAACAAAAAAAGGATAACAGAAATTCCTATATTTCAGCTCAACCATGGAACATGCCTCCATGTTTAACAACTCAGCTAGAAAAATGGAAATAATGACTGAAATGCAGTAGAACAAATCAAAACATAACAGAAAAAGAAAAAATGCAGCAACTAAATTGGAAGTGCAGCAGCTAAGTCAACTTCTTAACAATACTGAAATATTAGTTCAGTGTCTCCTTTTCTTTCTATACTATTTTCACTTCCAAAAACAAGAAGTCTTACCACTGTCAAGATAACATTTTCTTGCTTTGCCATTCGAGCTCAGTGCCTGTCAGGATTCCACGGTCTACGAGGATTCCGACAGAGCATGGGGCCTTGTCGAGGATTTTTTTGTTCATGCGTCGAATAGAAGGATTTGTAGACTCAACAGTGCCATGTATTTTCCACCGCTTGTGAAATGGCATAATTAAAATGGTCGCTCTCCGGTCCATTGCTAACCGGAAAATATCGATGTGCATTGTATCGTACTCGGAGATTCAAGTGAATGATTGGATGCTTGTGCAGCGTTGGTTGTGTTGCTCATACTGTCTTAACGCATTCGCAATTCTACTTGCAGCAGATCTGTCATTCTGAGGGGATCTATGGTAGACATTTGATATAAGGAGGGGAGTGTTTTGGCCCACAAGTTCGACGAGCACCAAAGCAACAACAGTAATGGGGCTTTCCACACTGGCATACTGGCATGAGACACTTCTAGAAAGTTGGCAATGGTTGGGACATTCTCAGGTTTGTGGATGCAAACTAGCATTCGAAATTCTGACTCTGGTTTGTAATGTTGGATTGTACTTCTCGTAAGTGGTTGGCATTTTTTGGTAGGATCATAGAGGTGTCTTACCAATGGAGTTATAAATCCTGTTGTTGCTAAAACTGACATTATGCAGAGAGTGAAAGCTTTGTCTTGTAAAATCTGAAATTAGCAGCAAATTAAGAGTTCAATTTATGTTTGACATCTTTGAGAAATGTCATGGAATTTAGCTTCCAGTAGTCAAAGAAGACTTATCATGCATTTTTAGAGAGGAATTTGTTATTTTATAATATATGCATGGATTAGTATTAACCAGACCTTGTTCTCCTTCCAGAAGTTGTAGATTGTGAGTTCCAGAATTCCCTTGGAATTCAAAATCATCCCGAGCACGTTATTAAGTTTAACTAGACTAAGCTTACAAGTTACGGATTATTATCTAAGACAAGTCAATATCTGATCAAATTTAAATTTTTAAGTAAAAACCCAAAGCTACAAGCAACATAGCAGAAACAAATAGAATTACAAGTTACAGAAAATTAAAATTTCAACCAACAACAAAGATTGTTTTTCTTCTTCCTATTTTCAACATAACATAATTAATTTAAGATACTACTATGACTTGCTTGAGAATTACTGAGACAGGACTAGTAACATCTGAAGAAGCAACCAAGTCTCCTATTGGTTTCAACTCTGGCAACTCATTCCGTTGTGATAACCCTGATATTGCTTCTAGCTCAGATTCATGACGACCCCCTACTAAAATGAAGTAAAATTTCTGTGAATTGATTGAATTATAGCTGCAGTATCTGAACCATCTCTCACTGTCTCCTCCATGTAAAGAATACTAGCATTCATTGTCGTTTCTTTCTTCATTATTCTCAAAGATTCATTGTCAAGAATACTCTTCCAACTATCCTGGATAGAATCCCTGGGAGTGATAAAGCCAACTATTGCGAGCTGAACATTGAAGCTCCTTGCAATGCTTAATTAAGGCATAAGCAAGTGCTTCTCTATCATCTGCGCCTCCTACAAATAGTACACCAACACGAAATGTTGTTGTCAGAGTAAAATGGAAGAAAGATTGCGAGTTCTGCGTCTATCAATAAGAATTCCTACTGGAAGAAATATTTTCTTCTTGGTTGTTGCACGATTCTATTGGTAAGGGAGACTAATATTTTGGAACACCAAAAATTAGGAATATAGTTTTTGGAACAAAGGGAGCACTATTTTACCATGTGGTTAATCCAAGCTTATCTTGATTGTTAGACTACACATAAATTTTGGTAGAGCTAAGAGTTAGTTAATCTTCTTTGGACCATAGAGTATAAAAGTTTTTGACCCTCACAGCAAGTATATTTTCTGAGATCAAACTCATATTTTTTTTAGTCTTACGGTGATCGAGACCGTTTGAAACCTTCAATCAACACGTTGTTGGTTATTAAGTTAATATACCGATTAGTCTAGATTGTGATAAATGGTATTAGAACTTCTACTATCTAATACCTTGAGGTTTATCTTTGCCAAACCTCACCCATTTATAGGCTAGTAATCTGCATATTTAGGAAGATGTTGGGTTCAAATCCCTTTCAAGCTTCCCACAAATTTAAAAAATGAAGGAAAGAAAAAATAATTAAGTAGTTGAATTTTGTTGGAAATTTCTTTTTTATAAAGATAGAAAATACAATCCAATACACTACAATTTGATCAATTACTTGAACCAAATGCAGAATCAAAACCCAAAAGGATCAATTAATTGCCTTGTCAAGTGTGAAATACAAATGATCTTGGGTTTCCTTGATTTGAACTTTCCAATGTTCACGTCACTTATTTAAGATGTCGCTATGATTTGCTTTTAAGATTTGTTGTTGTATCACTAAAATTAAAACTGAACTAGTATTGTCAGGAGAAGCTAGCAGGTCACCTACTGGCCCCAGCTCCGGCAACTCGGTCCATTGTGATAATCCTGATATTGCTTGTGGATCAGTTTCATGGCGACGTCCCACCATAACAAGGTGATATTTTCCTTCAATTGAATTAATTACAGCTGCTGTATCAGACCCATCTCTTACTGTTTTTTCTACGTAGTTAATGTTCATACTTGCACTCCTTTCGTGTCGAATGTTTCTCAAACATTCATTATCAAGCATGTTCTCCCAATTATCATGCACTGTACCTTGAGTAGTAACAAGGCAAAAAATTGTAACTTTAACTTTATTCCCTTTCGCCATTCTTAATGCATACGATAATGCTTCTCTATCATCTGGTCCTCCAATAAATAGTACAGCAATATTATATGTCTCCGATGATTCGAAAATGGAAGACAAGCCTTGAGTCTTTCGATGATCAATAAGAATTCCAACAGAACAAGGAGCTCTTTCTAATACATTAATGTTCAATTTCCTGAAGTCATTATTGTTGGAAACCAATTTGCCATTGTTGTTCCATCTTTTGTGGTGTGGCACTAGTATTAACGAACAAGTCTTGTCGAATGCAAGCCAACAGATGTCTTGATAAATCTGTTTGATAGGTGATATTGCAGTGAAAATGTTCAGCTGAGCTAAATTTTTATGCTGCAATTTGAAGTAGTTGAAAATATCAATAATGGACTGCGACCGAGATACATGATCTTTATTTCTTTGGCCTAATTGATGGTTAATGAGTAAAGGGTTATCAGAGCCAATGAGTTCTTCTAAGCAGAGTCCATAAACAGTTAAAGAGCATCGCTTTGCAGGGCTGGAAAATTCCAGTAGCTTAATTGCAGCTGTTGCATCCTCTTGCTTATGTGCACATGCTAATATCTCTAGCGGCGCATCATATGGAGTATGCTGGATGCACTTCTTCTTATATCCAATATAATGTTTGGTCGGATCATATAGCAGTTTAATTAAAGGAGGCGCATAAGATGTCAACAAGAAAATCAAAAAAATCCCACTTGTACTGTCAAGATCTCGAGCCTCCAGGGGTGTAAAGCTCAAAAAAGTTCCCATCTCTTTGGTACCTTTGATGTTCAAGATTAGAGAAAGAGCAACAGCTTCTTTGAAAGAAATGTGAAGACAAAACAGTACCATGAATAGAGTTGCAATCAACTGCAAAGTATAGCCAATTAAGGCCATTTGAAAATTGAGAGCATCTTCCATATGACCTAACAACTCCCAGATATTAACTTTGCTAGCACAATGAGTAGAAAGAAGAGGAACTAGCAAGCCATAAACGAAAGTATCAAGCTTGGATGTTAGATTTGTTGCTAATGGAGAGCCTGCAGGAATTATCAAACCAAATAGAAAAGGTCCCCAAAGATAATTCACTCCCATAGTATCACCAATTGAAGACAAAAACAACACAACTACTACCACAATTTGCACATAAAGTCCATTCATTTGTTTCCCTTCTGGAGTTGCTCTAATGAACCAGAAACTCAAAGTTCTCATCAGAACTAAAATAAATGCAAAATAAATGGTTATAAGTATAAAAGATTGAACTCCAATTCTTACTGTTGCTGCATGTACTACTCTCATATTCAAAAATGTAACATTATCGAAAATAAACCTTCCAATATCACAGAGTAAGGTTGAAGCTAATGCAAGGTGTCCGAGTTTCGAATTAGTGATCTTTAGATGCATTAGAACAGCACTAACATCCACAAATTGGCTTCGAGTAAATGCTGCTAAATACATTTCAGCATTATTTTCTCTTACAACGATCATTACAGGAGTTAAAGTTGTATTTGGATCAAACACGAGTTGTAATGATTCTGTCATTGTATAAGGAAATAGAAATATCAAAGCTCCAAGAATATAGCCTCGTTGTCCTATTTTTTTAACCCAACTTGTATCCAACCTTACTGCTGCTAAGAAGATGAACAAGATATATCCAATCTTTAATAATGATCCGAATACGAGATTCGGGACAGGAGGAAATAACAATCTTGCTTTATTAGGAAAATATCGTTCGAAAAATGTCGGTCCCATGATGAGGCCTGCCTGATCCACCAAAAAAAAAAAAAAAGATAATGTTAGAGAAATTCCTATTCTTTCCTAATCTGAAAGAAAGATAATAAATGATATTACCAGAACGTCTGAAGTTAGTCGAGGGAAATGAAACCGCTTGAGAAATGTATGGAAGATATGGGCAATTGTAACCATTGAAACTAATTGAAGCTGAAAGCGAAAAAATGCATGTTGAAGAATAGATTCTCCATGCATATTCCATATTCCTGGAGAGTTAACCGGAACATAATCGAAACAGGCTGCGCTTACATTTACGATAGATTTAGGGGTGTCCATTGTTACGGGACACCCTTCCTTCAACAAATGAAACGAAGAAGAAGAAGAAGCAAGAAAGAAAGTAAGGAAGATCGTTAATTGATCTTAATTTGCATTAGCAAAAGCTATATTCAGCACATAATATTTATGCATATACAAATATATCAAACATGGAATTTTGCAAGTTTTGGCTGGCAATATTTAGTTTTTCAGTTTAAGATATGGTTGTTAAATACAAAGTGTTTTTTTTTTATTGGATTACAGCTCATAACAGAAATAACTACCTAGTAACTGCTAAATCATAGCAATACTATTTTTGGCGATCTATAAAAATATTTGTGATGATATTTTTTCTTTTTAACTACTTGAGACTCCGCACTTTTTATATAAGAGAAGATCAATTAGATATTTTGTTTTATAAATCTATCATTTCAAATGTAAAAAAAAATGTATAAATGAAATATTCATATAATTACAAAATATCAAAAGTTACAAAAAAAAAAATCTAAATCATATGATGTTATATTATTTTTCAATTTGTTTCAGGCATGCTCTAATTAAATAATACAAGATTATATACCATGTTCTGTACATCTGGTTTTTAGTAGTGGGTGGATAGAAATGGTTCTCAAATTCACGTGCTTTGCCCGAGAAACTAAGCGACACGTCGGAATTAAGGATGAGAACAATGACGTGTTACCTACTTTCGACACAACAGACAAAATAACTGTCACCTACACGTAGCTGCCGCGTCCCTATCCCCACTATCCACATAATGGATATTATTTTCGTTCATCTTTATCTTTATTTATATTTTTTAAAAGTTATTATTATTTTGAGAAAATTAAAAAGTGTAATTAAAACAATTAAGTAAAAGTGACGTTTTAATTAAATTAAAGAGTTTTTTATTTAATTTAAAAATTTTTTTAATTATACTCATTTTTTAAACATGAAAAAATAAAATTTTAAGATTTAGCAATTGATAATTCCTTTATATGAAGCCAAATTAAAAAAAATGGTGCCAATTTCCTTTTAAAAAAAAAAGAAAAACAAAAAGGGTGCCATTTTTGTAATAATATGCGATGGCAAGGATATTTTCAGAACTCTTTTCCTATTTATTGAAGAAGATATTAATGTGGATAATGTTCATAAAGTCTTATTGACAACTTCAAAGCTTACTCTCAGTGTTTTCTTTCTCTGTCAAACTTCAAAGATCAAATTTTTCTTGCATTTCTTCGAAGTGGCAATGGAGGTAATTTCTCACACATCAACACTGAATCCCAACGCTCCATTGTTCGTCCCAATGGCTTATCGTTCGGTGGAGGATTTCTCCGATCAATGGTGGTCCCTCGTCCACTCTTCTCCTTCCTTCCGCGATTACTGGCTTGAAGAATGCTTCACTGATCCTCAAATTGATCCTCTCCATTTCAATTTTTTCGACGAAGTCGATGTCGATTCCCTCTTTTGCGACTGCGTTGATACCAAACGTAATAGAAAGGCGTAACTTTTATAATTTATTGCATTGTTTTGAATCTGCTCTGAGTCAGTGATTCAACTGAGTAACTCGGTCTTTCTTGATTTATTGCAGAGGCGGTGGAGATGGAAGAGAAGGAGCATAGCAAGGATTTGGTTTCAATAGGAGTAATGAAGTGGCAAAAGGGTCGAGCTCAGGTGGCGCAGGTACCCAAGTATGTAGAAAAAGCACCAAGGATTGTTAGTGTGAGAGTGAGTCCACGAACGATTCAGCAGCCGAGGTAGAGTATGTGAGTCAGTGAGTTTGAGAATAACTCAGATTATTTACTTAATTTGTAGTTGTTGACTGTTGTACATAAGACCCAAACTTTCATTTGCTAGTTTGTTTTTCTGGGTTTCATTTCATCTTATGTGTAGCATCTTGTAATCTTGCAACTTTTTGTTTCTTAAATAATAAAGGAAAAATTAACCCAAAAAAAAAAAATATTACTGATATTTATATATGTAAAGAACATAAATTTGAAATTCTTGAAAGCAACTATCGTAAAAGATAGGCCTTTTACAGATTTCTTTCTTTCTAATTATATAGAAATTGGAGCACACATTTGTGTAAGTGAAGCTCAAAATCCCCATAGCTACATCTGATAGTCTTTGGTGTGTGATCTTACCAAGTAGTTAAGATCTCATCAAGTTAGGAATTTGTTGAATATTCTTCCCAAGTGGTTGCAGTCTTGCCAATCTTGTGAATGACTTTGATGACCTCTTCTGTAGTAACATTGCCGGTCACTATGACCTTATTGAGCTCAATATCTACATTATATGTCTCTATATCTGCTAGCAAGAAAACGAACCAAATATGAAGTATTTATGTATTAAATCAGTCTGTAGTTCATAAAACCTTGTTTAGGAAGATTAATAGATCAAGAGCTTGAAGATGGATTTCTCATATTTACCTTGTATTTTCTTGATAGCTTTCAAGATTTTCTTGATGCATTCCTCACAGTGTAAACCCACTTTCAGTTCCACTACCTGTTTCCCAAATTGAATCATCAAATTTAGCTTCAAAAGCAATCAAAGGTTTTTAAAAGATTCATGAAATACTTACATTAGTCATTGTGATTGTTGAAAACTGAGAGCGAGTGAAATTTGATTGAAGACTGATCAGCAACCCACCAAATAGCGGGAGTGAATGCAATGTCAATGTTTAGTAAAGTGAATTGAAGCGTGTAAATATATAAGAGGGAGAGGTATTGGATTCTTTACTTGATTGATGGGAATATCACTTTTGTTAAAAAGCTTCCTTTATTCCCATACTGTTTGACTTTAGAGAAACTAAACCAGCTAGCCTCCAATTACTGCCTTGCTCTGTTTGATAGTGACCAATCTAAAGTCTCGCCCTTTAAGCAAAATTGTGTTCATACCCAATTTTTCTGGTTTGATTCTTCAGATTTGTCATCTTTATATTGTGCAATGCTAACATTGCTCTAACTAGAAGATTATTGTTTGAATTGTAAAAATGTATATTTGTTGCTAGAAAGGGAAAGACAGCTTACTGCCAACAACCAAGCCATAGTCTCAAACTAATTGGGATTGGCTATATGATCTTTCTCTAGCCCTCAAGATGCATTAGGGTGCCCTTAAATTTATAGGGCTATGTTTGGTATGGAACTATAGGAGAGAATAAATCTCCAATACCAGTAGAATCATAGTTAAAGCTAAAATTTGTCAACTAAGGTGATTTGGTTGAATAAAAGTGGTTAATGGCTGCAGCTGGAAAGACAGACCTGAGACTGAGAGTCGCTTTTCTTAGTGTATACATACATCAACATACAGATTCCAGAAACTGAGTTTGGACAAATGTTTTATAATTGTCTTATAATTATGTTTTATAATTGTTAGTGCTATAGAGTACTAGAGAGTGCTATATCATGATAAAATGAAGTTCATCGTTAACTAAAGGTGCCAAGAAGTGAGCTTTTGAAGGGGTAAACCATTATTAAACTTGTTTTCTTGTCGTTTTGGGGTTAGGCTCCTTCTCGTTAATGCAATACTAATCTAATTGTCTACGAAGCTTAAATTTGTTAACTATAATTAAAATAACCGCAAATAATAGAAGGCAATCATTTAGCAGCAGCAAACGGACCAGGAAGCAATATAGATTTGCAATCTACACAATACTTTCTTTTAAAATAAGTTTTTGTATTCGTAAGCCACAAGTTAAGGTCAATGCACATGCAAGTGTGATAATTTATTTAATCTATTTTGAGGAATGAGGGAAGAACCTTTTTTTAGTTAATTAAGTATTTATATTCATTAAAGGATAAAATTTGATTAACAAAGTGTTAGTTTGAGCGATAAAAAATATCAATTCTCGTAAAATTAAAAACACAAATTCTTTCAAAAAGTGCACTTACCATAAGGATTACGATTTAAAGAAATTACACCTCCTAACTGTACAAAAAGAGATAAAATTTAAGCAACATTGTCTAATATCGTATTTTCCACTAAAATTCCACGTTAGTTGCACATGATTTTAAGTGTTTTCGCTACTTGTCGAAACACATGTCTCAATCATCTTTTCGAAAAAATTTAGATATGGATTGAAAATGTTTTCTATTTATACATCAAAATAACAAAAATTAAAAAATTCAGGCATAAAAAATTTAGTTAACCAAAATTAATTAGTACTCATTTGCAGAAAACAAACAACTGTAAAAGTATCCATTTCAGCCAACTAGAGAAACGTTAGTGTTCCAAGACGTTCATAAAAGTCAGAACAGTTCATGACTAGTACCAAATCAGAAATTCCCACGTGTTCTCCTGCCTTCCTATTGGTTGTTTCCTTCCTTTATATTCCTTACCAATAAAACAACACCATCTCCAAATTTTCTTTCTTTTTCCTCCTTTTTCTCTACGGAAAAGCAGACAGAAGAAAGCGTTTGCCTTTGCTAGTTTAAACTCTATTCCTCATTTCCCATAACTAAATTTATCGATCACATTCTAGCAAAATCCCAAAATGGGAAATGCCTTGAGATTCCTTTATGGACATTGTTGCAAGCCCACTACAGCCGGCGACTCTGAATCGTTGGGTCCTCACGGCGTTTCGGCCGCCACAGTTGGCGTTTCAGCTCTTGCCCGTGATATATTTCATTTTGAGATCACCTCTCAGGTAATTAGATTTGAGCTTAGTTTGATGATTTTAGCTTCTTTATGTAACGTTGACTCTGATCACTTGCATCTGGTTCATTATGGAAATTTGTTTAGCTAATTAGAAATTTACTTCTTAGTTTATTTTCAAATTAAAATTAATTGAATGTTGGGTTTTGTTATGTTAGGTCCCACAAGAGCTCAGTAAACATGTGATCTCTTCCAAGAAGGCTCAAGCTAATTGGTGATTAACCAATTATAGAAAAATTATTAAAGATTAGATTTTTATTTTATGATTTGTGTTGGGATTTTAAATAAAATGCAAAAGAATAAGCTAATAAGCACTTTTTAGGTATAGAAAGTTATTAGAGGCCTGGAGAGAAGCAAAACCCCCACCAAAAACACCAGAAGAAGCTGCTAGGTTTGTTATTCAGACCTTGAAGAGACACCAGAAAGCAGATGTTGAGGTATAAACTGAAATAGATGGATTAGGATTTTCATTTTTTTTTTATTATTATTTTTAAATATGATCCTAACACATTTTAATGCAAGAAAGATTGTTTCTTGTTTCTTGTGCCTTTTTCTTTTGTTATTTCTTTCTTCAGGGTTTATTGGCTTACTATGGTCTACCACTTCCTCATACTCTAGTTGAACTTTCTTCTGGTGTCCCGACATCATTGCCTGAAGGAGTGAAATTTGAGTTGCTGACCCTACCAGTTAGTAGCAAAATCTCTCTCAAATTCCGAGTTGTTATTTTGCTATCTCGAAAATCAGCTTGATCTGATAATAAATTTTTCACCGGATTCAGGTGGATGCAAGAGCTGTGCCTGATGGAGACACTATATCTGTTTATGTTAGCACTGCTGATCCCAGGGAATCTTCTTGTGTTCCAAGGGATGTTCAAATGGCAGCTGATCAAAGATCAAAGGCGCGGGCTGAAAGAAATTATGATAAGGCCGATGCTCTGCACAAGAAAATTATTGATGCCGGATATCGGTTAGTTTTCTTTATCTATACCATTTTGTGAATTCTGTAGAAGTTTAATTTGTGATTTTTTTTTCCCTTTCTGCAGGGTGATTAACATTAACAACGAGGAGATTCTTGCTCGTAAGTATCGCATTCGACTAAGGTAAATCTACTTCTTGCAAGAACAATACCTAAATCTTGATGTATCACACTGGAGATTAATGGTTTCTGGAATGGAAAGAATATAGGGGAATAGATGCACCAGAGAGTAAAATGCCATATGGTAAAGAGGCACAGCAGGAGCTTGTTAAGCTTGTCGAGGGCAAATGTCTAAGGGTCCTTGTCTATGGCGAAGATCGCTATGGCCGCAGTGTAGGTGATGTTTATAGCAATGGTATATTTGCACAGGTACCATTCTTTCACCTTTAATTAGTCTCCGTTACCGAATGCAGCTTGTAAGAGCTTAACAATCTGCTGTGTAATAGGAAGTAATGCTGAAGAAAGGATGCGCATGGCATTATACTGCCTATGACCAACGGTATGAACTGGCAACTGTAAGTAAACTTGATGCCTTTGCTCATCATTGCACTCGTTTTGTGTCAGCGACAAACACTTCCTGATATAATTTTCATCATATTAGTGGGAGAAAGAGGCTCGGGCAAAACGCATAGGCTTATGGGCTTCATCAAACCCAGAGAAACCATGGGAATGGAGAAAGGACAGAAGAGAAGGCAAATGATTTTTAACTTGCCCTGAATCACACTAAACAGCTACAATCAAAAACCAAAGACAACAGAGAGAACAGGGACACCTGCAGATTGCGAGCCAGTATTATTTTGTTGTATTTAACTAATTCTGTAGCTCAACTGACAAATGTTAAGGTTGGAGTGCCCAACTTTACAAGAGAGCTGCCCCTTCCTCTGGTGTATAATCCCCCTTTGTTTATTAAATGCAGATGTAGCTATTGCTTGACTATTGAACTTTGCCAATGAACATGAAATGCTCACATTATTTCTCTTATTCAATAAAGTAGTCATCCACAGGATCACAGAGAAACAATTGGGAACAAGAGAATTATCAATTTAACTGAATACGGCACCTAACTGCACCAAGAGTTTAAAAAATACATAACACAACTAAATCAAATAAATTTTGAGAGATAGAAATGTATAATCAGCCTCCAGCTGTTGTTGGCATGCGGGTACAACTGAAGAATATGCTGAAAAAACCAAACACACACAGTTCAGTACATGACGGAAGTGTCATGCCCACCGAGAAGCATGATAATTGATAATATGGTTTTTCATTATGAACATGTAAAATGACTTGGGACTATGATTCCTAATGTGAAATCTGGAACATATATAGCCATGCTCCTAAAATCAGCAGTTCAGGATCACCCATCAATTTTGAAGGAACATGTTGATGCAATATTTATGCTGACCATCAAAAGGTGAACAAAATTTACCTATAGTGAGAAATAGGCAAACCAAAGCAGACTACAAAAGAAAGGAAAAAAGTAGAAATGTATCTGTTCTCTTGTCTTGGAGTACATCTCTCAAGGTTCTTCTCCTCCTGTTTGTTTAATTTATTTATTCCTTGGGTTCTCATAAATGTTTAAATACAGGCTCAAAGAAGGTGAAAGTAGACAGAGTAATAATCACCATCTGAGAGTTTTGAGTTAAGATTCAGAAAGTAGAATCATGGTCAATTTCTAAAGAAAATAAGAAAAGTGCACTATGTAGATAGTTCATGGATGAAATTTTAAGGTTCAATCAGTATCTTAAAGAGCAAATATCTGTAGAAAGAAAAGTTTCAATTAATTACAATCATCCGAGTAAATGAACACTCAGAATAGTAACAGTTCACCTCAGATAGAATCAAATTCTCTTCTGTTATTTCAAAAAGAATAACTATCTGATTTTATCTGCATCATCATCCTTTGCTTCATCGGAATCTGAGTCACTTGCATTATAACCTAAGGAAGTGAAACGAAAATCAGTTAAATGAACATATCAATAATCAAGGATCTGATCAATAGAAAAAAAGTGTGTATACCTGGACGTTTATCCCTCACTTTCCATGCAGAAGCTCGACTCTTTGAAGCTCTGCTAATCCAGCCATGGCCCTTAAACAAAAGTAAAGGAACAACATTCAGAATTCCAAGTTCATGACAAAAAAATATAAGGGAGCGCAACACACAGAAGATTATTAAACCCGAGGATACATATTATCTGATTATAACAACAAAATATGGGACTTACTTTATAATGCCATAATGGGAAAGTATTAACTAAAGCTCCCTTTTAGCCTTGAAGCAAATAAGAATAGATCAAAACTACTACTACAACAAGTAACAACTTAAGGAAGCAACCGCGTCCTTGCATACAAATTCCTTAAGCCAGTGACACAAAAGATTAAACAGTGGAAGGAAATGTGTATAAGTTAAGTTTGGGTCCTAATTGCAAATTGAAACAAACAAAAACCTACATTTGGCTGCTAAAACCAAATTTTCGTTATTCTAGAGTTCTCTTTTCTAAAACCAAACTTCCGAAACATCATCTTAATGCAAGTACTAAGCACACTGTAACTAGTTCTTTTATTACAATATAGATGAGAGGCCAAACAACCTTTCAAAAAGTAAAAAAGCAAAAAAAAAGAAAACAATCCGCCTAAATATGGATTAAAACCATTCCAAAAATTAAACTTTCTTTCTTAGTAAATCATGAAACGAAAATCAACAACATGAGCAATTAAACGCCACTATAAAGCAACAGAAAGCAAATACAGAGTCCTAAAAACAATGCAAAAATGACAAATAAGTCAAACAAAAAAAGTTCAAACCTTCTGATCGTCTTTCGGAACACCATAACCATTACAATACATCTGACCAACAAGGACTTGCATGGCAATATCACCAGCTTTAGCCTCCTTAAGTGTGTCCTGAAACCACCGTTTCACACATTCCGAGACTACCTGAGAAAGCGGCACCCGATTCTGGCCATCAAGACAAAGCGAGCTCTCTCCCATCTTCTTCACCTTGAGTGGCTGCGCGTTAACTCGGACTTCGTTCGGCTTCAAATTGATTAAAGGTACTGTCTTTCTACGTTTTGGCTTACAGGAAGCGAATATTTTAGAAAGTTCTTGAATTTCCCCTGTAGAAGGAAGCAACTTCCCCATATAAATGCAGTTTTTTCAAGATTTTTGAATCTTTCTTTGTTTTATCATTATTGACAGAAAAAGAGAGTTTCGAAAGTAATGGCTTTTCAGCTTTTGTGGGTTGTTTGCTTTAGACTTTCCAGTGTTTTTCTTATCTGGGTTTAATGGTGGGGGATATAAAAGAGGGTTCTTTTAGATCTTGTTTTGGGTTTTTAAGCAAAAAGCGAGACATTGATTTACAGTGGCATAGGGCAATGGAAGCTCTTTCAGCAAGTTTCGACCTTTGACCCGACCCAACCAAGTTTGATGGAAAGTAGAAATAACCAGAACCATTAGGCCTGTTTAATAACAGGCCGGGTTGGGTTCAACATTCCAGTCCAGTTAATCCAGTTCAAATCAAAATCCATCTAATTTGATAGAAATAGTAACTTTCATTGATAGGATCGGATGGATCAAGAAGGAAAAATTCCTTTGATAAATGATGGAATTGAACAAATAAGTTTGCCTTCCAGCTACTTCTTCCTCTTCTTTTTCTTTTTCTTTTTCTTTTTCTTTTCTCTTTAGTTAGATTATATTCCAAAATTGTTAAAGTAAAGGGCAAAATTTTCAAATTACTTTTCTTTTTTGAGTTAATATAGTATTTTCTGAGATTTTACATTTATATTGTGGGGCCAAAAAGAAATTGTTAGACTAGCTTAGCCATTCAATTGCTCTGGCTTGACTCAACTACGATTAAATTTTTCCATTAAAAAAAATACAAACACAAATTACCATTTATAAGGGCATGTAAGTAGTAAAAAAAAAAAAAGTGCTTTAGCTAAGGTTAAAAATTCAAATTTAAAATTATTATTGTTGAGGTTTTACCAGAATATAATCCTGAATCGAAACCTGAATATACGTATGCAAAAAAAAAAAAAAAAAAAAAAAAAGTTAATATAGTCAATTTCTGAGATTTTACATTTATATTGGTGGGGCCAAACCCAGAATTGTTAGACTAGCTTAGAGCCATTTCAATTGCTCTGGCCTTGACTCAAGCTAATCGATTAAATTCTTTCCAATTAAAAAAAATAAAAACACAAATTACATTTATAAAGGGCACTGTAAGTAGTTAAAAAAAAAGAAAGTGCTTTAAAGCTAAGGTTCAAAAGTTCAATTTAAAATTATTATTGTTGAGCGTTTGTACCAGAATATAATCCTGAATCGAAACTGAATATCGTGACTGCAAAAAAAAAAAAAAAAAACCTTTAAAACTCTTAAAAGTATAGATTTAAACGTACAATAAAAAAAAAAAAAAAAAAAAAAACTTTAAAACTCTTAAGTATAACATTTTAACGTACAATTTCAGAACAAAACATGTAGAAAACCAAAAACAATAATGGCGAGCGATGATTCGAGATTTCCAATCCCAACTTCGTAAATAAAATTTAGAATCTAACCATCTATTGATACAAACTACTGGCCTCCATACCGTACTATTGATTTATGAAAATTTCACCTTAACAAATCCAGCGTATAAATAACTCAAAACAAGCAGGTATCTCGCTCGCAAGGAACGAAAAATCCTCTCCAACCTTCATTGAAAGTAAATTCCCTTGAAATCCGGTTTCAGAAAAGGAAAAAGATCCATTAAGTACAAAAAAGCAACAAAAATCTCCAAAGCTAATCTCCATCAATTTACAGAATGTTTAAATTTCAAAGCTTTATGTTTCTTGGACAAGAAATGGTAAATGTAATGAAAAGAGAACAACTCTTCAAAATACAAAATTCGGACAAAATTACCAAACATAAACTTTAATCATCATTTGGAAAACAAATATTATTATTATTGTCTTCCATATCAATGGATATTCATGGATGGACATTTGGAATTCCTTCAGTTAGTGTTATTGGAGATGGGTATTGTTTCCCTTATCCTATGGAATTGATTGTGAAGAAGAAAATTAAAAGCCTATCTAATGCACAATTTGAAGTTTTTGATCAAAGTGGAAATCTACTTCTTCAAGTAGATGGTGGTATTTGGAGCTGGAAGATGAAAAGAATTCTGCGAGATCCTGCCGGTTTTCCTATTCTTACAATGTGCGGAAAGGTAAACATTCTTTCCAAATTTCGACATTCTTGATTTTTCTTGAATAAAAGAAAATTAATGGTTATTTATGTTTTTTTTTATTTGTAAGGCATTTACATTTTGGCATAAATGGAAGGCTCATGAAGGTGCAAGTTCAGATGAAAATAGTCTCCTCTTTAGTGTAAGACAATCCCATCCTCTGCAAATTAAAAAAGAGCTTCATGTTTTCTTGGCAAACTTGAAGAAAAAAAGCCCTGATTTCCATGTTACTGGATCCTACACTTCTTTATCTTTCAAAGTTTTCAAAAGCCACAGGCTTCTTGCAGAGGTAATTTTATCCTTTTCATTTTTATGTTTTTTTTCTTCTTCTGATTAGGATATTGCCTCCATGCCTAGACTTCAGCTTCTATTAGTTTCATGGAATGATATGATTTATATAATATGAACAGGTTAAACATCATTTCACCCTGGAAAGCTTCTGCAAGGGAAAGGAAAAATACAAAGTTAAAATTTATCCAGAGGTGGATTATGCATTTATTGTGGCATTGCTGGTAATTCTTGATGAGAATGACTCTCCATAATTCTTTTTTCTCCTTTTTTTTTTATTTTATATTAAATATTTTTGTTACCCTTTGTAATTATTCTTGTAATGTATATGTCCAACTTAAGCTTTAGCAATTAGGCAGCAATTGAAAATTAGCATAGTGGGCTAAATGTTTGTTGACACAGACACAGTAACAGCATTTTGATGTTAACATAAAAAAGTATTTTGAATATTTTCTTTTTAATTTGGCTTTATTGCTCTTATTAGGATTTGCATTTAGAGAAAACTTCCAACACAATTTATTATTAATTAATATAATGCCAAATCAAAATAAATTAATCACTAGACTTTAGTTCTCTTTATAATTTATATACAAATTAGCCTGGTGCAAGGAAAATGTAACATCTCGATAAGTGTAAAAAGTATTTGTGTTTGATTTGCATTATCAATTCTATTTCTGTGAAGTAAATCATTCAACTTTTCTCACACGAGGGATTTAAGTTTCTTAAATATGAATAAGAAAGTTGCAGTTTTCTAATTAAGTGAAATAAATTTACCAATTTATCATATTATTATATTATGGATATATTATAGTAATTTATATTTGGAGAGTAATTTATTTTTCAGAAAGTTGATTTGCATACCAAACACATTCAAATTATACTTCCTAAGAAATAATTTCTTTAAAAGTGTATTTCTTGAGAAATATACTTTCCAAGAAAATTAGTCATTTTGAACCAAACGAAACTTATAATAGTCAACAAATCATAATATTTTAAAGAAAACTTATTTGTTCACTGAAAGTGACGACCCCGTTGTCAAGAATCACATCAACCATAACATAAAAGCCCATGTCAAGTTCCTTTCATATACATTATCATTCTTACCTATATACAGTTAATCTGTCAGCTAAACAAGAAAGATAAGCTTGTCAACCTATCCAGAATTCGTATTCTTAATTTGCAATTATCCAAATTCAATAAATGTTTGTGTATAAATCCATGTAAGAAATATATAATCTGTCAGCTAAACAAGAAAAGATTAAGCTTGTCAACCTAATCCAGAATCGTATCTTAATTTGCCGCAATTTATACCAAATTCAAATAAATGTTTGGTGTATAAATCATGTAAAAGAAAATATATATATATATATATATATATATTATTATATATATATATATACTATATATAATATATATATAAGTAAATGATACGCAAACTAACTACTTCTTAAATTGTCAGTTACTTATATTAAAAGCAAATCCAATAACTAGAAATGGGTAATAATAAAGAAATACCAAACAAAACTTAAAAATCAAGCAAATGACAGGATAAGATTGGTCGGAAAATAATTCCAAAATTACTGTGACCAAGATTTACATATGTCAAATGATAATGGGTGTCATTTTAATTGGAAATGATCTGTAAAATAAGATTGATTTGACAAAATTAAAGAAACCTCAAGCAAGGGAGGAGAATAAATCCAATAAGTATCTCAAGTTATCAATATGATACTGCACCCACAACATAAATTCTTGAAAAAGAAAGCGAAGGGGAAAAAAAAAAAAAAAGAGGCATTCGCATCTTAAATCACAGTCCATTATGCACTACATCATTTATTTATTTATGTATCGTCTCTATCAACTTTTTTTATTTATTTATATTTTACACGTATTTTATCTTTAGACGTCATCCTTCTTATAATAGCAACTTCAAATTTTAGACGTAGTTCACTTCTGCTGATTCAACCGCATATATATATATATATTCACTTCTGCTGATTCCAACCGCATATATATATATATATATATATATATTATAGAGCTTGTATAGAGATTGGGATAAATCCATTTGACACAAATGTTATATTATATGCCTAGAAGTTGGTGAAGATGGCAATATCCCAACTAAAACCAACATGGCAGTTGCATACGTACATGACCTTTCTTTTTTAGTTATATTTCGTATTATGTCTGAAACATAGTTGAATTAACTTGCTATTCCTGGAAAACAGTACAGCTTTATAGAGATTTGGGATAAAATCCATTTGACACAAATTGTTATATATATGCCTAGAAGTGTGAAGATGCAATATCCCAACTAAAACCAACATGCATTGCACGTACATACCTTTCTTTTTTAGTATATTCGTATTATGTTGAACCACTAGTTGATTACTTGCTATTCCTGAAAACAACTGCAAAAACAATACAAAATCGCAAAGGAGATGCGCTCGCATATATTCGGTATATGGATGATCCTATATACCTAATCAATCCATAAAGGTTTTTGAAAATATTTTTTACTTTTTTATTTATTTTTTCCATGAAAAGGTCAAAAATACTTTCATTACAACAAATACTTATCTTTTGTATGAAGTGATTCATATATCTAGATAAGTTTTTTTATTTTAATAAATTTTAATATATATCATCTCTGCTTGATTATACCTTGTGATTATAATTAAGACAATAATTCTCATCTGATTGATCCATATACAGGTTCATTGAATTAGATCTTGATACAAGAAAAATTATTATATTTTATAAAACCTAATAATTGTTAAAATAATTCAAATCCAATTTGTATTGTTTAGTTTGATTGAGTGGTTAGACCCCACATTCTATTATTTGTTGTGTGCTAATTATCTCCTCTTATTTCAAAACCATTCAAGTGAAAGCTGATGGATTTTGAAAAATAAATAAAAAACTAAAAAATTTTGAAAAAAATTATGTTGATTTGATATTCAATTTTTTAAAAAAAATTTAAATTTAAATTCTGAATTTAAATTTATAACTAGATTATTATAAATTTAAAATTTTAATTTTCCAAACTCCATTCGAGGTAAACGTGTTTTAAATATCTAGCTTGGATTCCAGCTCAACAGAGTAACGCGGTATTTAGGCCCACAATGAGTTTAGATAAGCAGCCCATCCACGTTCCTTTCCTGATCAGGATTTTTACACTTCATGCGTTACCTGTGATTGTGAATTGGTGATCATAATCTGACGTATTGTTCCCCACAATTTCTATCAAAAGTTTAAAGATGGACCCTACTTATGTTCACGCTGTTTCCAAGTGTTAGCTGTACACCTGGCATGCAAATCTACCGTCCAATCATTATTATTATATACTAATACTGCCAAGTGGGTACACTCTGTTTTTAGGTAGAACAATTTTACCCCCAAGCCTGAAATAACTAACAAGTCTCTTGGTCTTTAATCCGCAGTAATTTTAACTAGAAAGCAGATTGGATAAGGAACAAATCTTCCACAACATTCTAGATTTTGTTTCCAATATTATTTTCTAATGTAAAATTAAAATTCATAAACATTTAATTTTTAAATTATTTAAATTTTAAAATAATAAAATACAAATAATTAAAAAGTAAACTGTATTTTCAGAACAGCGAAAATGCTGAACAAATAAGAGGACTCAAAATAACATTTATCTGGGGAAGGGAACAACTTGTTCAGGTTTGAAGAAGATGACAGTAGTCAAAAAAGGAAACCAAGAACCAGGAAATGCAGACTTTTGTGCTTAGGATGTGGACAAAACTATCATTTCAAGATGACATGTTTATTTGGAGTTTTGGAATAGTCTGCAACAGCTTTTAAGAATTACTCGCTCTAAAACATTTTAACCGGCAATAAGCTTCTGAAAAATTTACAATATGTTTGGATCCATGGAAAATAAGAGAGAAAAGAAAATTAGGAGGAAATGACAAAAATTACAATTTTACTCTTAATCAAATTGATTTAAAAGAGTTGCCTAATTCACTTAAATGACAGTTAGCATAAGAAATATTCATATCCAAACAACACCTTTTTATTATGAAATGAGAGTAAAACATTAAAGACACACACATATCAATAATTAACCAACTAGATCTCACCATCCTACCTAGTTTTACACACTAAAAACCTTGAAAACCGAATACAAACCCAAAATCAACCAAACAAACACGACCTTAGCCACTTACATCTTTGCTAATATCCACGTGTGCAACCTTCTTTTATTCGCACTACTATATTATAATACTAACGGATACACCCGATCAGACACAGAGATATAGATGTAGTTTCAATTTTACTAAATTGCCAGAACCAAACCCGGCACCGACTTTCCGACCCGATTGGAGAGGCTGCTCTCCCAAACGGATGGGCAATGCACAGGAGTAATCTCCGCCTTCGGTGATGATGGCGAAGACGAGGAGGAGGAAGAACAAGAATAATCAGACGATTCTGATTGATTTTGGTTTCCAAAACGAGTGACAGTTAGAGAAGTGTTGAAATACTCTCTAACTTGGGTTATTATCCCATCTGTGACAGTCCAAGCGTGAACCCAAGAAATGGAGCGGGTTGGATCGCAACCTTCAGCTATTACGACAGACCCGAAAGCCCGAATAACCTCAGGCTTAAACTCAAAGCTTTTTCCAACTTTTTCGGATGAAGTGTCAGCTCCGGTCAGAAGGCGCATCATAAATTGGTGGGACGGCGGGCCATGGAACCACCACTCGAGGTCGGAGGCTAGGATCTTATGCACCGTGTCCACGTCCCGAGATCTTAAGGCTTCATAGAGGCAAAGAACCACCTCTTGGTTCTTTCTAGAAGAGTCTTCCAGTATTTCCTGTGAATTAGCCAGTTCTAGAATAAGCCCGGAGTCGGCCCTGAAACGCTAAAACGAAGATAAAGAGAGAGGAAAAGTGATTGTTATAATGGAACCAGACACTGGTGGTCATTTGAGGAGGAAGGGGAGGGCATTTTATAGAACGAGGTAAAGGGTAGTTTAGGTATTTGACTATTCCAAGGGTAGTTTAGGAATTACATGACGTGGCAATGTGGGAACGTATGCAGGATATAAGGGGTTACGTGTCAAAAAGACAAGAGAGACAGGTAAGCTTTGTGTGGGGTATCCGTATTGATCAAGCTCAACAACCCAATATTTTTTTTAACTTTCTCCAATTGAAAAGTTCTTACTTAAAAGTTACTCTTACGCTATTTACTCGGTACAAGTTTAAAAGATTTTTTTTTTTTTTTTTAAAGCAAGTTTAAAAGATCGTTTTTAGCATACATGTAAATTTCATATTCATTGATCAGCAAGTCAGTTTGGCCGAGCTCAAATTTGTTCGATTTAGAGTTTAGCTCAAAATTTCGCAAGTTTAAAAATTTTAAATTTAAATTAAATTCAAATCGAAAAATTTTCAAATCGAGATTCAAGAATATAAAATAAATATTATATATGTAAAAGTAACGGATTTAAGTTAACAGTGACCCAAAGCAACATGGTCAGTTGCTGCACATCAATTCTGAAACTTGGGAATAGTTCTTTTGGACCGTTGCATCAAATGGGGGAGAAAACAATTTCTGACCAGGTAGCTTTCATTTTGAAGTGGATAATTCCATTTTCATATTAGACTGTAGAATTTTTTTTTTTTTTTTTTTTGATAATTTCCATTTTTCATAATTGACTGGTTAGAATTTTTTTTTTTTTTTTTTCTTATCTTCCTGTGAAAATATTTCCACAGGCCGGAAGACCGGATTCATTTTTGGGGGTTCTTTTTGTTCATTTTATTCGTAAAATTAACTGTTTTTTTTGCTTTCTAATCTCTAAGCACTAGTGTAAATGTGATTTCTCTCGAATAATAAGTAAGATTGTGTTTCTGGCAACAAGTTTTGAAAAAAAATAACAAGAAAAAAAAAAAAAAAAAAAAAATGAAAAAAAAAAAAAAAAAAAAAATAGAAAAAAAAAAAAAAATAAAGAGATAAAAAAAAAAAAAAAAAATAAGAAATAGAATTTTTTTTTTTTTTTTTTCTTATCTTCCTGTGAATATTCCACGCTCGAGACCGGATTCATTTTGGGGTTCTTTTGTTCATTTTTATTCGGTAAAATTAACTGTTTTTGCTTTCTAATCTCTAAGCACTAGTGTAAATGTGATTTCTCTCGAATAATATAAGATTGTGTTCTGCAACAGCTTTTGAAAAACGTTATTTGTTAGAATGTTCGGTAACATAGATTTGAATTAGCTTTTAGAGGCTAATATAATGTTATATAAAAAGTTAATTCATGTAACATTTAATTTTGAACGTTTCATGAAAAGCTACTCAAACACATAAAAGCTAAAAAATCTAACATATATCAAAACAGCTAATTTTGCTAAACATATCCTAAATAACAAGTAATGTTCTGATTATATTCCTAATACTAAGCGCATGTAGCCTAAATATTTTTTTACAAATTAAAATTTCTAATATTTTCAAAGAAACATGTTATCACCTGAGTCGCTTCGTATAAATTAAATGGTAGCTTATTTAAAGATAAAACCATCCTCATTCTTCTAGTTTCTGTTAGCAATTAACTAGAGGATACACAATTAAATTCTTTTGTACATCGATATTGAAATAATCTATACATATGATTTTTTTTTTTTTTTCTGAAATTTCTGACAATGGATTTCAAGATTTTGGGTGAAGTGAAGTGCCTAGAACTAAATCATTTAAAATTGGCTAGAAAAAAAAAAAAAAACGTGTTTGATTAAATTATGATTGAAGTGCAGTGAGCAGCCACTTGTGGATGCATTACATAAGCTAAAATCAAAAACAGGGCCTATTGCCAGCAAATTGAAGACCACGATTTTTTTGGTTTTGTCCTCTACAATGGATATTAGAGAAGAGAATAGTCCCAAGATGGGATAAAGCTGGACAATGGGCATTGCCAGACTGGAGATGGAGCCACTAAATGCTTATCTTTGACGTACGATCAAAATCAGACGGCTACATTTACTTCTTTATTGTCCTTAGTCCAATTAAGGTTTCGACATTTCAGATTAGCTAAAGCACTCAACCACCCACGCTTGACCATTTGACGAGAAGATTTTATTGTGACTGAATATATGTTTAAAGAATCAAATTTGTCGATACTGATAAAACAAAACAATGAAATTTAACAATTGAGTCGATTCTCTCTCTTTTTTTTTTTTTTTTTTTTTTTTTTTTTTTTCTCTCTCTTTTTTTTTTTTGTTGTTTTTTTTTTATTTTTTAATCATATTAGGAGGATTAATCTCAATCAAAATCGTAAACGTAAAAATAGAGCTTAATGGTTTTTTTTTTTTTTTTTTTTTTTTTTATTTTTTATATTTAGGAGGTTTAATCTCATCAAATCGTAAACGTAAAATAGAGCATAAATGTTTTTGATTCTCTTAGTAAGGCATATTTATCAGAAATCGAATTTGTATTCTCACCTTTAATGGAATTAAGCTCGCTTGAAGTCAATTCTATTTTTAACCCGTGAACCAAGTTGAACTAACTATTACCATAAATAAACAAAGTCGCTTCAACAGTTGGGTCAAGGTCACCTTAACAATTGGGTCAAGCTTGACCCCTAAAGGATAAGAAGAGAACAATTGGGAAAATTTGAATTATTGAATTGAATTGATGTATCGGTTTTGTTCTTATTTTTAATAAAAGAAATTAATTTTTTAGTTTGGTTCAATTTGATTAAAATAAATAAATTTAAAATTTACTTAAAAATAGTTGAAATAGAGCCGAATCGAATCAAATCACCTTGGTTCAATTAGATCCTATATCCTATGTACTTTAGTTTGGTTAACATCTAAAATATTCAATAAACTTGAATTGCATTAGTTCAATTAGATTTAAATCGAACCAATCAGATGCTCAATATTAATAAACGAATTTGAAATTTTCAAGCAAGATGTCATTTTCTCCACTTAAATTTTATAATTCAAGGGAAGAAAATTGAAGAGAAAATCAAATATCTGTCTTGGTTTTTTATATTACAAAAGAATTATTCAATTATTTAATGTTAAATTAATATTTAGAAATGATAAAGCGTTCGACTCGCTCTCATGTGCAAGAACTTGTTTAAAATATATGTGGATCCTATATGCTATATTCACTCTCAGAACCGAGTCGAACACTCTAACAGACTGTGTAGTCATCTGGATATTACGCAAATACTAATATGAAAAGATAAAACTCATTTTAACAATTGAATCAAATTTAACCCGTAAACGAAGTTGAAGTATAAAAAATGAAATTGCATTAATGTTGACCCATAAATTAAGTTGAAATTAGGGTTGAGTTAGCTCAATTGGGTTTGGTTCAATTTAAATTTTATTCTATTTCTTTAGAGAGGTTTAACAAAAAAAAAAAATGAAAATTTTTGTTTACACAAAAACTAATCCCAAAAACCAGTTAAATGGAAACAAATTGGCTGAATCATATTGATTCAATTTGGTAGTACTGGTATGATTTAATTCGTTTTTCATTTAGAATTGATTTATTCAGTTCGGTTTAAACCGAACTCACATAATGGTCTGCCCTGATTTAGATATAAAAAGACAAAGTCACTCTAACAACCGAGTCAAACCTAACCCACAAAAGAAGTTGAAATTTTGAAACTTTAAGCACAAAGTCACTTTCAGTTTGAGAAAAGGAAAATACTTATATTTTGATTTTTTATATTACAACATAAATGTTTACATATTAAATTAATTAGGTCGTTATCTAGTTATTATGCTTTGTTTATTTTGTGAAAAATATTTTCTAATATCATTTTAGTTTTTGGGTTGTTAAGAAAATTGATTAACAGAAATTCTGGGGTGGTTTGGATTATGTAACTGCAACTACTAAGCTGACATTTAACTAAAATTGAATCAGCATCTATACTTGTATTAAAATGAATCTACCATTTACGCTTCCAAGTTGGTACAGGTGGTTTGGATCAACAAAAAAGAACTATATTCTCAAGTGAACTTTATCTGCTGAATCAGACATTCAAACCTGCAATCACTATTATTTATTAATTGCGATTAGGGTCTAAACAATCTGAGCGAGTTTGAATCTTCCAGGTTCGAAGCTCAGCTTGAAACTGAACAAGTCTAAAAATTATAGGCTCAAATTTAACTTTGAAAAAGTTTAACTCTAGGCTCGAGTAAATCTAAAATGAATAGTATATATATAAAAGCTCAACAACTCGCTCAACTCATTTACTCCCCTAATTGCCATAACTTTACCTATCTCAGAAAACGAAGTGTTAATGACCTTTCAAGCATGGTTGGAGCCATGGAGATCTTGCATTTGTCTTTCCCTGCCATAGTCTTCCCTCCACTATCAATAACCGCATACCCCATTATGGAAAAATTTAATCTCTCTAGTGTTTGATGATATAGTCTTTACTAGTTTTAAATTTTATAACCCAAATTAACTTTCCATTGCAACGTCCTCCTATCAAACAAAATACCTGTAATATTGAAAGAATAAAACAGCAACAACATCGAATATTTTCCCAGTAAAATATGAAAAAAGGCAGAAAGAAAATACAAAAACATGATGTGTTAATCTACCGAACAAGAATTGGGAAAAACAATTAATTTCTTTCCTTTAATCATTGAGCTAACCACTCACTAAAAGCTATACTTTGTTAATGTTTAAACTGTCAGGTTCTTGAATTGTGTCAGCATCAAGAATTCAAAATATAGCCTGTGACTTCAGCTCGGAATTTAAAAAAAATCTGTTTTCAACAAACTATTCCTTTAGTATTATTAAGGGTGTCCTTCCATCTCCCGTTAATCATTTTTAGGCATGAGAAATTAATCATTTTAGGCCGGAGAGCAATTATGTGTTTAAAAACCCTTTCCAAGATACCGACTTATAACTCAATCTTGTGATCACTAGGATGAGATCTAGTGCGCTTCAACTACTAGATCAAGCTATCTTGTGTTGCAACAAATTATCCCTGATATAAGCTGAAGTTAACGTTTCTTTATTTTATCTTTCACGGAGAAAAGGCAATACAAGGAGTTCACTTTCGGTTGTGAATGGAGATTATTTGGCCATTACATATAAAAAATAAGCATGCTGAAAGATAAATTAACTCCAGCCACTATCTTTTTCTCTGGAATATTATATTAAAAGTAGACTCTAAGAAACCAATTCAGTTACTTTTTATATCTGCATTAATCCTGAGCCACGTAAAATGTAAAACCTCAGATATTTTATACCTAAATTAATAATATACTCCATAGAAGTCTTTCAGAATTATTGAAAGGCCACAGTTCTTACTTCTTAGAAGTTATGGGAAACAAAGAAAAGGAAGAAACATATATACTAACAACCTATGAAACATGGGAACTCCTGGACATGAGGTGTTTTTCAATATAAAAAACCGTTTCTTATTTAAAATGTCGTTTTACCCATATCGTTTCTTCATTTCCACATTTCTCCGTTTCCACTTTCATGTCCCTTAATTAATAACAGTAGCATTCAATTATAACCGACTTGGTTTAATCACTACCATTGTGCAAGTAAAATAAGAGAAAAACGTTCGAGATGGTTGGATCACATACGCTGTTCAGACTCCCATATGCTATTCAAAACATCTATAATTTCTTAACATTAGAATGGACTTAGCTACTATTCATAGATAGCTTGAAATGTTGGCCACGTAATTGAACTGAACTATCAATAGCTAAGCAAACAGCAAGACTTGCCTTTCTGAGAATCAGCAAACAAAGAATTAATGGCCCTATCATCGAGAGCAACAAATTAACTACTCCATTATTGTGAAAAACAAATCCCTTTCTTCACAGATTTCATGTGGATGAGTGTGTACGCACATATGAGCATGGTGGGAGTAAAAACGAATAGCTGACTATAAGTGTTTCCTTATAAATATCAAACATATAGTTACAGCTTCATATAAGTAACAGAGCATTTCTACCTAAACCAATAAAGGCATTACTATTTCATGTCATAGGTGCATGCTATGTTGTAGGGAAACTTTCTTTGGATGCAGTTTCCGCATTTAGAAACTCCTTGGAAACTTTTTCCAGACCGCTTCTATAAATTGGATAATTTGGAAACACAGTTGCCCCTCTTGGAAATGTGTTCCCATGAACTGAGAATTCTCAGAAACTTTCACGTTTCCATTTCCGTGCAACATAGGTGCATGTCATAGTGCATCTCTAGATCTATAAGCATCGAATTAAAAGAAAAAAGAATGAAACACTGCAATTTGCATAATGAGGTATAAACAGAATACAGCTATATCTTAATCAAACAAAATGTAGACCAGATCTAAATCTCAACGGTTCTGCTTAAATTCCATTCTCACTTTCTCTGTAACACTCGTTCAAGAAACGAGAGTTTTTCCCTTCAAGACAACTAATTTATCAAATCGAAAGAAAATAAGAACCGGCTTCACCAAGAAATTCAACCATTCATTCAAAGAATTTGGAGTCAGACACATAAAATGCTGGTGTTAGATATATGCAGAACACTTTTCAGAAGTATTCAACCAAGAAAAGTAAAATTTAATTCAAAGGCCAAAATCAATCCACAGATCTCAATTTCATCGTATGTGATGTGCATACTGCTTTCCAGGCTATCAGAAAATAATCTCAGAGGAAAGTCTTTCCCAAATTTGAACATAAACTCTGATTAAGGCATTAATTTCCAAATGAAAAGTAATGTTGTTCAAAATGAAAAATCTTCAAAGAGGCAAACTAGTATTATTTATTACAGTACAGCCGCTCTCGATACACATAAAATTTACATCACCACTCAACATTAATTCATTACCAATAAATAAGGATGCTATCTACATTGTATTGCATCTAAGTGGCTCCTCTTTCTATCAACAAAGGAGACGGTGGAATCATAGTCTCCTCCTTGCCTCCTGTAGAAGACTCTTCTACTACTGTAGGAAGCTGCTTATCTGGATTACAATACTCATTTGAAACTCTGCTCGGACTTGCAGAATTAACCATCAAATTCTGGGATGGACTATAACTGTTGCCAAGTGGAGAACTTGGTCCCGAAAAATTTTCACGAGGCAAAGGTGAAGGCTGCAGATGGATACTACCGTCCACGTGTTTTTTATAAAATTTATCTTCCATGATATCGTAAGAATTCCCAGTTCGAACTTCCTGAGCTAGAGAGCACCAACAACAACATAGCCAGAGTGTGCAATCAGAAACTGCTGGGTGACCAAAACAGAAGGTATAAGATGGCAAATTAAATCTCTTTCTCATTTTAATCCTCCAAAAGCCACCGTATAGCAAACCAAATGCACAAAGAATGATTCCAGTAACTCCTAAAGCTTCCCTGACAGTCTCATTATCAATATTAACGGCAGCCAAGTTGAAAATCCAGAAAGGAGCCATACAAAAAAGGAGAAAGGTTGCAATATGAACATACATGTTCCCAAATCCAAGCCTCTCCATATTCCATCCGAAGACACAAAAAGTACAGAAGAGTGATAGGTATGCCAGAGAAATGTCATCCCAAAAATCAAGGATCCCTCCACTCCACTGTGGTCTAGTCTCAAGAATTCCTTCTTCATCTCTACTTGCAAAGGAATATCTCTTTTCAAATGATTTTATTCTTAACTGCACTGGCTTCTTACTCTCATCAGTAGTAATTGGAACTTGTGCTTCTTCATCAATTTCACCATAATCCTTCCCAAGGGGACTAACAATGGTGTACACCCCAGCAATTGCAGGCGCACCTATTGCAAAAGATATACATATTCCAACTCCTATGGCAGGTCGCTCGGATCTCTTATATCCCCAATTTAGACCACACAATGCATATTGAGCAAAACAATTAACATTAAGTAGAAGAACAACAACCATCATGTGAGCCCATTCATGGGGCTTATAGGTCCCATTCTTGCAGTAAATGTTCCTGAGTCTAGCAATGTCTTCTGGTTTCCATCTACAAAGAAGTACAAGGTGGTAGAACCGCTTTGGGTGTTGGTAGAGACACATAAGAGTAAACAATGCATTAAGTATTTGATTATTTACTTCAAACCATGCATTCCTTTGTGACTTCTTATGCAATACACCATTTAACATTCCAGTCATGACTAGGAACAAAATTGCGCCTGAAATAGCAACACACATGATCCACACAAAAAGGGCCATGTTCATTGGGTCCCGGAACCATTCTTTGCCCATTTTCATCAGCAGACCCCAATCAATCTTCCGAGCAAAAACCTCATTGATGCGTTCACGAAAACCATGGCTACTTGAAGAAGCAACTGAACGTGATTTGTCATCTCTATCCTGAGCCAACCGCCTAAATTTGGCTGATGCAGAGCCAAATTTAAGAAATTTTATTCTATTGGTAACAGATATTAAGGTTTCTGGAAGCTTCCTTTGAGGGTTTTCAGTGCTCAATAGAGTCCTTCTTGATGTTGAAATGTTGCAAGGGATTTGGTTCTGGAGTTTAGCACCATTGGATTCCTTAATTTCCCCTTTTTGATTCCCATTATTGATGGAACCCATTCTCTCAATCAAAATTGAGCTTTATAAATCAGTATTACAGATGCGACATCAGAATTGAAATGTTCAAAATAAAGAGAAGTACTGCAATTGCGACATCCCAATGTTTAGTCTAATTTTGAAACCTAAACACCACGAAGTAAAATCTTTCATTATCCAAAGCTACAGAAAAAGAGTAATCCCAAATGAACAGAAGCAGAACATCTATCAAAATCACAAACCAATACTAGAACATAGCTATTTAGTAACTCACCAAATTAAGACAATAATCAAGAACTTCCAGAAAAAATATACAATTAATATAAGAAAAAGCTCATGTCTTTATAAAATAAACATCAAATGAATGATTAAATCTTAAATCCTTACATCTAACTAAATCAAGATAAAATCAAATTGATTCATCCAGACTGGGTAAACGATCAAATTATCCAAGAAAAAAGAAACGTAAATAGCAACATACTGTTTACATATACGATTGATGACTAAAAGAATTGACAGAGAGAATCAAACCAAAGAAAGCACACAAGTGAATCAGAAAACAAATATACAGAAAGCAATCACATACCTCGTGATTGAGAGAGACTCTGCACAAGCGTTGATTTCTAGGGAGCTACTTTTGTATCTGAGATAAATCGGTTACTTTCCCATAATTTATTCTTTTGAAAACAGAATTCGGTTTCTGTAATTCTGTTGTTTTCTTGAAAAGGCATCAGCTTTCCACTAAGCCCAAGTCAGCAGGGTGAGGAGGCTTTGCTTGAACATGGAAAGATTCTAAACGATGTCGTATGGGATTGAGAAAACATGCACAAATACATTCATAATTTCAACTAGGTTTTAATCATTGAAGCCAGAGCTCGAATGGTTGCAGGTAGGTGGGTAAGTGCTAGCATTCCGTTCAATCCCACCAAACTAAACTGAACTTTTATCTTATCACAATTTTTTACCTTTTTAAATAAGTGATTTAACTAGAAAATTGAAAATTAACTATATGATTTTTTTTTCTCCTTAACATAAAATTAAATCAAAATCAAATCGATTTGATTTTACTAACTAATAAACCGATTTGATTTTACTAACTAATAAACCAAACTAGACAGTATCAATTTTATTCGATTCTTTCGATTTTAATAGAATACAATCTCTCCCCTTATTGTCTAAACCAATTATAGTACACTAATTCTGAGTTCATTTGAATTTAAAAATTAAAACTACATCGAAATTGAATTAAGTTTAAGGGATAAAATAAATTATCCAATAAATAAACTATTATTTAACTATTATACATAATATTCTTTATTTGAAGACAAAATTAAATAAAAAAAAATGTAGAAAATGAGAGGTCTTAAGTTCGAATTTTCTCTACTTCAATTACAAAAAGTTATCACCAATTTGATAAATATTATTCAAAAAGAAAGTTGCCCAACCTTACAGTGGACTTTCCATTTATATAAATAATAAAAAAAAAAATCAAACCAAAGAACCATTCAAATTAAGTATTATAATAATCAAATTCAAGCTTGACTATTAAACTTAGGGATTCTTTATGAAATACGTTTAAAAAGCCTAAAAAACCGAATAACTTTGACTCATTTACTTCCTGAGCAAAAAAAAACCACTTCATGAAAAAGTTGAAAAAGCCCAAGAACAACACAAACAAATGACGCTAGTTGGAAGATCTTTAGGCACGGGGAACTATTGAGGAAACCAGAATATTATATAAAAGAAAAGAATAATACATCCTTTTCACAAATATCACTCAACAATTGATCCACAACTCCTCCATTAAGATATAGCAGAAAGCTTTGATTCGACAAATTTGATCATATCCTCCATTAAATCTCAGATCCTTTCAAGTTCATAGGGTATCAACAAATTCCAAAAAAAATACCATATCTCAATTACAAGCTCATGTCCACAGTGGTTAAGCAACCAACTCTCTGATTAAAATCCAAGCCAAGAAAACATTTAAAACAGAGACAGTGTAAATTAGAGTGATTGTAAACTGACAGATAATACAATGCAATCATTGCAGAAAAACCAAAAGAACAAAAGATGTAAAATTCGAACTTAGGTAAGGTCATCCTCCTCCAGTTCCTTTGCTTTCAGCTTCTCTTTCACCCTCAACAGAAGGGTCGTCTTCCAGGGGTCCTGTATAGAAGTTAAAGGCCACATAAAATCAACAGCAAACTGACAACAAATTGAATTTTAATGACAAAGCAAGCCATTCAAAATTCATTCGATCCACAAATATATTGAAGGTTTAATCAGCCATGTTTCGCTTCTCAATTACAATACCAAAAGTATAAATTTGACACAGGAACATGTAAAATATACATTATGTAACATCAATACGTACATCATCATTAGAAGTATAATAGACATTGTTATCACATGCAATGTTATGTTATATCTTTGAAATTTTATGCAAGGATAGATACAAAGAAATTTACCAATGGAGTCATGCTGTCAAAATCCTTAACAATGTCAGTAAACTTTGCAACATCTTCCTCATCAATGGCAGCAGCAATATCCTGCCAAGAGAAAAATGAGATTTTACTTGCAGGCATTCTACCACACAAGCACTGGAAAAAAAAGTTCTCTATGGTTGAACTTCATGTTTCTTAGAAATTGAATTTGTTAGCAAACATAAAACGAAGAAAGCATGCTTAGTGAACATACATATATATATAACAATACATATATCTATAATATATATATATATATATATTATAAAACATATTTGCAAAAATAAAAATGATAAGTGATTCTTTATAAAAAGTGAAAAAAGAGGCGGCAGAATAACCCTATAAGAAGAAGCGCATTGAGGCAAAAACTACCGATAGCAAGTCGTTGTTCACATGGAAGTATAAAACATATTTGCAAAATAAATGATAAGTGATTCTTTATAAAATGAAAAAGTTATAAATGCGGCAGAATAACCCTATAAGAAGAAGCATACAAAACCTACCGATAGGAGTCGGTGTTCACGAGTTCCTGAAAACGTTGGATCCAGTTCCTGCAACAGCAAATTCAACACTATTCATTTTAACCAAACTACCAGTAACAACATCAAAATGGCAATCTGGAGCCAAGCCTAGACCTGATATCGCTCCAATGCATTATTTATGGAAACAACATCGCCTTTACAGAGATGGCAAATGCCAGCATTGAGAAGATGACCTTTGACTCCATACTTAAGCAAGTTATTGCCAAGTGACTGCTTGGCAATCTCTTCATAAATCTCAATAGACTTTTGGTATCTGAAAAATTATCACAAAAAAAAAAAAGTTCAAACTCCCTAAAACAACTTAACAATTCACTACTGACAATTGCATCAACAAAAGAACATTGTAAAAGGAACTACTGAACTAGGCTTTGGTTATCTTATCAGATTGCATTTTTCTCCAACTATGTTACCTGGGTTAGGGCTACATTGTCATCATTAAGCGGGTACCTAGGAGATCATACTGATTGATAATATATTTTTAACTACTATCATGGGAATTTACACAGCCAGAGGTATCTTGTGAGTATTTAAGCAATGTAAATACCATATGCAATGACAAAAAAATATCACATGTAAATTGTCAAGTTCAGTTAATTGAAGCATTCCATCTTTTTTATAACTGAACCAGTCCCTTCAGTTTGCATGTAGCTGTAACTTTGAATGTTGATTTCTTTCCTTGTGACAAGATGCTTGCTCAAAAACATGCCACTCGTTCACAACAAAATGCCTACCTTTGCTAAATGCATGTGCAAAAAGCAGAAGAATCCTATGTAAACAGAACCAGAAAATAAAAAACTATACAAAGACTGTATGTAAAACCATGATATTTAAGCACGAGATAACAATATGCAAAAAGCAGACACCCCTACAGTTCTAGTTGAGCAGCAAACTGGGCTACTTTCTGCTTGCACTGGTTTGCAGAAGTTGTTACTTCTTCACCTTGGAAAAAATCAGCTGCCTTTTCATAAAAATCAATAGCTTTCTCAATATTTGCTTCTGACTCGTATAATTCAGCAATTTCCTGTGGACATAAATTTTCCAGGTTATAGTGTATGTCTTGAATACCATCAAACCTTTTGGCTGTTAGTATACATGCCAAGAGTAGACCAACATCAATGTCTGGAAGATTGAATATCCAAAAAAATAACAAAAAAAAGTGACATCTAAAACAATACGATCAACAGAACAGAAACCATAATATGCAAATTGCCGTCTCTTGTTAGACGATCAGAAAATAAAGATATTGATCACCAACAAACCAATACTAGTACTGAGAATACCTTGTAATATCTTGCAGCCATACTGATCCTTCCTATATCACAAAACAAATCTACTGCCTGACCTAAGCAAGATATTGCCTCTGCATAGAAGAAACTCCAAAAGATTAGCAATGTGTGGAAATACAAAGCGGGCATTTCAAAAACACATTACAACGCCACTAATTTCAGGTGTAGAAAAGCATACACTTGCAATAATGCACATAAATTACACATTCACTGCCAAACAGGAAAAAGCAGATAAAAATTTCAAATCTTAATCGAGCTTAACTAGCACATTCAAAAACTTGCCCATGAAAGAGATCACAGAACAATGAATTAATAGATCAGACAACACAATGAAGTTCGTAAAGTCTATAATGCTTGATCCAACCAATTGCAACATAACAACATGCAGCCGCACTACGATGCTGCAAACCAAAGTATAATAGGTATTAATTTCTTTACTTAATATAAGTATCGTTAAGAACAAAACACAGCAAAAAGAGAATTATTTGCTCATGTGCAGAGAATGCACTGGCTTGGTATTTTAATTTATACGCAGTAGTCAAAAAGGCAACTTATCATGCAATTCTCAATTCAACAAGTGACTTCAATGTTCTTAGCATCACAGGATCCAACTGGTTTTCTAAATGAAAATTCATAGTTTCAGAACAACCCGTGTAGCCTTTATGATTAATTTATGACATCATTGCTCGTAAACTAAAAGTTCCACCACACCTATAGTTGAAAATTGAATAAAAAATTAATGGGGATGATGTCTATGATTTAAATATTACTACTAACCACTTGTAGAAGTTTTCTTATAACAGTGAGCAGCATCAACATAAGCTTGAGCAGCCTCGTGTTTACTATCCAACTGCAAACATAAGAATGACATGTCCATTTAACTCTATCAACCAATACCAGCATAAGGAGATAAATTCAAAGCTTAATTCAAATGCAAAGTGCTCGCCTTCACATGACAGTTTGCCAACTTGACATAAGTTGCTCCTGCTTGATCCCCTGAAATATCATAATTAGGATAGAGTTAAGTAAAGAAATACCTTGATGTTAATGATGAACTTAAATGGTCACAAAAACATAGCTATTTTTTGGCAAGAAAGAGAAGACAGATTCCAAAACCACTGCCATTTTGCAGAAGATCCTAAAAGAATATGCATTTGAAAGCAAGTGTGACAAAGACTGAATCAGATTCATTCTCCTCCAATAGACTCATTTCTTTCAAATTGCATAAAAGTACAGATTAAACCAGATTGATCAACAATTGAACACCAAAAGATGATCTAACACTATACTATAATTTCATAGCGATTACCCAGACAATATCATCAGTATGTACTCTAAATTAACAAATCAAGATTAACAATTAGTTCAAACCTGTCTTCTGAGAATAAATCAAAAAAGGAAATCCTCATAAAACCCTAAATTGAAGCAACAACCAATTATGCACAAATTCATTTCTAATCCATCAATAAATACAAAATCAAAATCCATTCTTTCAATGGCAAAAAAGAATCAAACAGCCATTGCAAGATCGTCACAAAAGCTTTTCACATAACTTGCTTCAAATTATATATTTTAGATCAAATGTTTCATCGGAAAACCAAACAGAAGAAACTACAAGAAAAATATAATAATAGTTACAGGATTTGGCGAGCTTGAAGGAATTGGCGGCTTTATCGAAGAGCTCGGCAGCATCTTCGTATTTGCGGCCAAACAAGCCCCAACCGCTAAGCTTCTTTTCAGCTTTCTTCTCGAAATCCTCTGCTCGAGCTATCTGATCTCCCATTTTTGAGAAATTATTGATGAATGTGGAAATGAAATGAAGACTCAATTAAGCGAGAAAGATCGACGAGGGAAACGATTTCATCAGTTTCGGAAATCGGATAGTCTATGTAAGGGAACCGATTTCATCAATTTCGTGTCGTGTTTGTGCTTTTCCTTTGTTTTGAAAAGTAGAAGTCGTTCCTTTTTGTTAATTGTCAGTTTATCATAATGGGCCGTTCAATGGGCTTACACTGTAGATTTTCTGTTCCTTTTGGGCTGACTATGTTGAAGTTCAAAATAAAATAAATTGGACTTTGTTTGGATGAATAGTTGTAGCCAATATTTAATGTTTATATTATATTCCTTTTTTTTAATTTCTCGATGACTATTCTCATCAATTTTATTTCATTTTGGCGAGAGATTTATTTATTATTAAAATGAAAAAGTATAAGGTTATGATTAAACTCCGGCAAAATTTAAAAGACCAAAAATAAAATCAACTAAAATTCAAAATCAAATTTATGTATAGTGGAGTTTTAAATAATATATATTTCATATAAAGATAGTACAACTTATAAAAAGTCTTTTCATACATTGAGCCTAGGAATTATGATTCTTTACTTAAATAAAAAAAAAAATCTAACTAAATAGGAAAACCAAATAAAGTCGTAAAATGAAATTCTAAAAATAATTTGAGCTAACCTTTATTTATTCTTTTCATTTATCGTGAGAATTAATATATTAAAAAGAATATTGTGAATTGCATAATAGAGATAGTCGTAATTTTTATTTACTAAATTAGTGAAAATTTTTTTAATTGAGAGATTGAAATTTGAGACTCTCACTTGCCACAAACGAATGGTATCATAATTTTGCTTTTATTTTTGGCAAAGTTGTTGGAAAATATGTAATAATTATAACATCTTTTTCTTTATAAAGCTGTGAAGAAAGAAAAGGCAAAAACTGAAATGGAAAAAAAAAAAAAAAAAAAATTATTCTTTTCATTTATCGTGAGAAGGTTAATATATAGAAAAAAGATGTGATGTCATATAGATGATAGTCGTAATTTTTTACTTACTAAATTAGTGAAAATTGTTTTAATTGAAGAGATTGAAATTGAGACTGCTCACTTGCCACAAACGAATGGTATATAAGATTTTGCTTTTATTTCTTGGCAAAGTTTTGGAAAATATGGTAATAATTTATAACCCCATCTTTTTCTTTATAGAAAGGCTGGTGAAGAAAGAAAACGGCAAAAACTGAAATGGAAAAAAAAAAAAAAAAAAAAAACGGTTGAGTATAAAACATTTTGGAGTGGGTGGATGGATCCACCACCACATCCATCGCATGACTCAGAAATGAATAAAAAAAAAAAAAAAAAAAAGGTTGAGATAACATTTTGGAGTGGGTGGAGGATCCACCACCACATCATGATGACTCAGAATGAATAGTGTAAAATAATTATTTTATCTATTTATTAATTTTTTTTTTAATTTATAAAAGGATAATGATTCTTCACCTACTATTCATTATTTGTTTAGGCATGTGATTCAATTGCAAGCAACACTTTTGATCATAATGTTCAATTAATAATATCAATTACTTGAATGATTAAAAACTTTGATTAAGAAAAATAAATCAAATAAAAATCTCTTCTGATATACAATCTCTAAATATATTATCTTACAATATATATTCAAATACAAAATTTTTTATATCTATTGGGAAGCTAATTATTGTGCCCACTTCTTAGCATATCTTGCTCATAGAAATTTGTAGGGGTGTGCAAACCTACTGGAAACCGAATCCGCTCATTTTGGTTTAAATTATTCAAGAGAGATTCAATTTGTTGGTTTATTCTATTTAACCGAATTCATTATTTGGTTCGAGTTAATTTTATAAAAATTCATCGATTGGATTTAAAATCGAATTGCAATTATAAAAGTCCTCAAAACTAATCGAACCGATTGATTCAATTCAAAAACTAATTTCAATTCAGTTCGGTATGTTGTTAAAAAATTTTGATTTTTATATATATATATTTTTATCTCTGACCGTCACCTACAATTTGTAAGAAAAATAAAAATATTGTCAAATACTTTATATATATAAAATAAGACAAGCAAGATAATGGATAATGCCCCAAGAATCATATAGACAATGTCAAGTTGTATAATTTATTCAATTATAATATTTAGAACTAACTGTTATGCCAGCTCAATCAATCATTCAAGCTAATATCCACAAGTAATTTTCTTTTAACAGGACTAATATGATACGAGATGCAACAAAAAGTCTAGTCTAGTTCTTCAAGAACACAGATGAAGCATCCTAAAAACCCCGCCGGAGCACTCGCTCCGCTCCTGCCGGAAGTTGAGTCCTCGGAAAAACAAATGAAAAATGGTGCATCAATCTCAGGGGCAGTGTTCAACATATCAACAACCATGATTGGGGCTGGAATTATGTCAATCCCAGCAGCAATCAAGGTCCTGGGCATCATTCCTGGATTCTTTTCAATCCTTATAGTTGCATTTTTTGTAGAAGTTACAGTGGAATTTATGCTAAGATACACACAATCAGGCCAGGCTAGTACCTATGCTGGCCTTATGGGTGAGTCCTTCGGCAAATTAGGATCAATTGGAGTGCAGATTTGTGTCATTTTAACCAATCTTGGCTGCCTTATCATCTATTTGATTATAATTGGTAAGTTTCTTTTTTCCTTTCTTGTTTAACCTTGAAATAGCTAGCTAGTTCTAGTAATTTGGTAATAAATGGACTTGTAGTACAATGATTTATTGAAATGTTAACTTTTCTAGGGGATGTACTATGTGGGAATCAATCCCACGAAACCATACACATAGGAATTCTTCAAGAATGGTTTGGTAGCCATTGGTGGAATTCACGAGCTTATGCACTTCTCTTCTTGGTACTTTTTGTGATGCTTCCAATAGTCTTGTTGCCCCGTGTAGGTCAGTTTCTGCACTTGATTGATACCGATAGAAAGAAAAATGTGTTGGAAGACTCGTATCAGTACATAATCTACCTTTTTTTTTTTTTTTTTTTTTTCTTTTGTTTTTTTTTTTTTTTTGCTTGTTTTTGACTGACAGTATTCAGCTAAAAGTAACACTTCAGGAATATCTATTCTACTCTGCATAGTCTTTTTTTTTTTTTTTTTTTGCTTGTTTTTACTGACAGATTCACTAAAGTACACTTCAGGAATATCTATTCTACTTGCATTAGTATTTGTTGTCATATGTTCAGCTATGGCAATTTATGAAATGTTTGAAGGGAAGACTCAAAACCTTAGATTATTCCCAGATTTTGCCAATCAAGCTTCTGTATTTGATCTTTTCACCACAATCCCAGTTGTCGTAACCAGTCTGGGATTCCATGTTAATGGTAATTAATCATCTCCAATTTTGATTTTGGTAAGTAGAAATTGAAGGAAAAACTAATCTTGGGTTCTGAATATTATTTATGCAGTTCATCCAATAAGAGCAGAACTTGGAAAACCTTCTGATATGAATTCAGCTGTCAGAATTTCTCTAATAATTTGCATAGCAATTTACTTTTCTATCGGTTTCTTTGGTTACTTGCTCTTTGGTGACTCAATAATGGCTGACATTTTAGTGAATTTTGATCGGAATTCTGATACTTCAATCGGAAAATTACTTAATGACACAGTCCGATTGAGCTATGCAGTACACTTAGCTCTTGTGTTTCCAATAATGAATTTTTCTCTGAGAGCTAATATTGACGAACTACTCTTTCCCAAGAAGGGTGTATTAGCCATGGACACCAGAAGATTTGTTTCTCTTACTTGTGTTTTATTAGCAATTACTTACATAATAGCAATAGCAATTCCAAATATTTGGTATTTTTTTCAGTTCTTGGGATCAACTACAATTGTCTTCCTCTCATTTATTTTTCCAGGCTTCATCATTCTGAGGTACTAATTTAATCATTTCATGCTCTCAATTTCCTTAATTAAACCCTTTTTGTATGTACATTTCTTTGATAAAAATTTTCATTTACAGGGATGTTCATGGGATTTCTACAACAAGAGATAGAGTTATGGCAGTATTAGTAATTATCTTGGCTGTTGTGACAAGTTTTATTGCCATATGTACAAATTTGTATACTTCCAAGAACAAAAAATGATATTTTTAAAAAATAAAAATAAAAAATTAATTTACAATATGTTTGGTTTTGTAAGAAATGCTCAATTTTCTTACCAACATAATTATTGGATTTAAAATAATCACTCTTTCTTTGTATTTACAGTGATAATTGTAATGTAAATAACAGATTGTTTAAAGTAGTGGTTGTTCATTCTTCAACTCATTTCAAAATACTTCAATTGGTACACGCAAAAAATAGGCCAATTTGGCTACTTTTTGCTCAATTTCTCGCGGCGAGAATCAATAAACTCGACTCCGCACGGCTCCATTTGGATTTTGCAACTATTAATATTATTTATTTTGATTAACATAAAGAGAAAAATTATTTTTCTTTTTTTTTTAATTATCTGTATATATAAACTGCCCTTCCTTATCTATTTTGATTGTTTTTATATTTTATTATCTTATGGTTGGATTTAATTTTCTTAGTTACCCTTTAAACTTAAGGGCATATGACCTAGAAACATAATATATTATATATAAAAATATATTTGTAATATATTTGTATATCTCTACTTGAATATACGAAAATAATTGAATAAAAGTTTTTTTTTTTTTTTTTACATTTTTCACGTGAAAAAATACCCCACCCACCCATAAACACGTTTATCATATATATCATATACACTCCAGATCTATTAAAAAAATGCACACGCGTCAAAAGCTTCTTTAATTTATACAATCATATAATTAAACATAAATTAATTAATTATTATTCATCATTCTAAATTATTATTTGTCGGTGTGTGCATATATATATATATATATTGATTGCTGAATAAACCGGTTCGGGTCCGGTTCTGTGGTTCTGTGTGGCTGACCCACAGGTTTAACGAAGTAACCGATTGATTTCTAGCCTACTTGATTGACTGGGACTCTAGTATTTGACCTGCTTTTGCGTCTAAGTTCAACCGCCCAGTCAATGTTTTTGTTTTCTGTCCATATTCATTTTTTCTTCCAGCAACCTCCGACCTGTCCCATTCTTAATTCTTCTTTTGTTTAATCTTTCTATCTTTTTTCCAATCCTACCCTTATATTAACTTGCTAAAATAAGAGTATTTTTATATGGTAAAATATAACTAATTACTAAATTATATTTAAATTAACACTTAAGTCTTCCCGCATTTAAGAAATAATTATGAAATCTCTGATTTATATTTCTATCTCATAATTGGATCATTTGTCCAAAAATTAGCTTTTAACAGTTAATTAAATACATTTTTTGGATAAAAACAACTCACTTATAAATAGAAGGATCACTAGTGAGATAAAATATAAATTAATGATGTTATAATTAATTTAGATATAATTTAGAGATTCACTTATATTTTACCCTAATTTTACCTGTAATCTTTCAGTTTATCATTAATCAGAAAATTTGATGTAAATGAAGAGTTTATTTTTAAATATTGAAAGAGTGAGGATTCAAACTTAGATTTATCGTCATATATATACCACCAGACTTTATCTTAATGTGCAAAATTAATTAATTAAATTTAGAATAGAATAAACTGAAGCTAACATAGATTAAAAATTAATCTTTAAAAGTAAAATTACTTCTCCTGCTTCTAAATATTTGTCACATATAAATATTTCATGTCTTCTAAGAAATTATTCAATTTATTTAAATTACAATAAATTATTAGAGTAATTGCCTATGTTATCCTTAATTTATTATTTGAGTAAAAGACATTCGATAACTATTAATTATATATAAAGAGTAAAAATGAAAAGAAAAATATTATTTATTAAATCCATAAATAAGACAAGTGTTTAAGAAGGATGGAGGGTTAAGCATTTTGCTTTGGTGCTAAATTGAATGGAGGCTTCTTCTCCAAAAAAAAAAAAAAAAAAAAAATAAATCATAAATAAGACAAGTGTTTAAGAAAGGATGAGGGTAAGCATTGAGCATATTTGCTTGGTGCTAAAGTTGAGATGAGGCTTCTTCTCCCAAAAACGATAAAAAAAAAAAAAAAAAAAAAAAAAAAAATGGAGGGATGAAATTAACCGTTTACTACAAGTACAGCTCTACGAATGTCATTTTGGTCATTTGCACAATCATCCTATCTCCATCAAACACGCCAGCTTATTATATATTTGGATTAATTACTAATTATGTATACCCAGACAACGTAAGAAAAGAGAACCCTTTTTCCGGCTGGAATATTCCATTAAGGAATGTCACCGGCCATCGGAGAAGATGTTCCGCTCTTGCCGGACCACAGCGCGAAAGAGAAGCGCGGGGCGTCGGTATCCGGAGCAGTGTTTAATGTGTCAACTAGTGTAATAGGAGCAGGGATTATGTCAATACCTGCCACCCTTAAGGTGCTAGGAGTAATTCCTGCTTTTGTATTGATTGTGGTTATTGCATGGCTAGCTGAGATTTCTGTTGATTTCTTGATGAGATATACACATTCCGGCCAGTCTACGACGTACGCCGGTGTCATGAGGGAGGCTGTTGGGCCGGTGGGATCCATGGCTGTGCAAATTTGTGTTATGATCACTAACTTCGGTTGCTTAATCGTTTATTTGATCATCGTTGGTATGTATATTTATGGAATTTAGCTTATTTATTGTTGATGGTCATCTATAAAAAGTCTTGTGGATATCTGAAAATAAAAAAGCTCAAATTAACAATTTGATTTGAGATTCAATTAATCTCAACTTTAGCTCACGTAAGTAAAAGTTTGAAAGCTCATTGGTAGATCCAATAACAGGGTCGGTTTTGTTGATGCTCTTATTCTGATTATTAAAGTTGATGTTAGGCTTCTTGTTCTTGATTCCGATCTTTGAAGGATCAAGAATCAATATTCTAATGGCTCCTGTAATACATGATGAGTTCTTTAATTTGTCAAATTCGCAACTCTATTTGGTTTCTGTTCTTTTTCTGTTTCTTGATTTCTTTAATTTCTTTTTTCCTCGCAGGTGATGTCCTCTCAGGAAGTGAACATGGAGGATCATTACATCTGGGGGTTTTGCAAGAATGGTTTGGAATTCATTGGTGGAATTCACGAGCTTTCGCCCTTTTCTTGATTGTTCTATTTGTTATGCTTCCCTTGTGCTTGTACAGGCGTGTAGGTTAGAACACTTCAAACTTCTTCATTACACAAATTTAATGCAGAAACAAAATTTAATATTTGCAGGTTAAATTCTGTTTTGAAATAAAATTAAGTACTTTTTGGACTTGTGTTAACCAGAGTCACTAAGCTTCAGCTCAGCCGTATCAGTTCTTCTAGCAGTAGTGTTTGTTGGGATAAGTTCAGTCATGGCAATCTCTGCACTTATAGAAGGGAAAACCAAAACTCCAAGATTACTGCCTCACTTGGACAATCAAGTTTCTTTTTTCGACCTTTTTACTGCTGTACCTGTAATTGTTACAGCTTTTACATTTCATTTCAATGGTAAGTTTTATCTTTCCGTACTTTACAAGCAAATGTGAGTTCCAAACATGGTATGTTATGTTTTGAAATGTTATGTCATTCTTGATTTATATATATGCAGTTCATCCGATTGGTTTCGAGCTTGGAAAACCTTCTGATATGATATCAGCAGTAAGAATTTCGCTAGCAATTTGCGCAGCAATCTACTTTGCCATAGGCATCTTTGGATACCTATTGTTTGGGGATTCAATTATGGCAGACATATTAGTAAATTTCGATCAAAGTTCCGATACAGCAACTGGTGCATTATTAAATGACATTGTTAGATTAAGTTATGCCTTTCACCTTATGTTAGTGTTTCCTCTGCTGAATTTCTCTTTAAGGGCAAACATTGATGAGTTTCTTTTCCCTAAAAAGCCTATTTTGGCAAAAGACACAAAAAGATTTGTATCTCTGACTCTTATCTTGCTAACCTTCAGCTATCTATTTGCAATTGCCATTCCAAATATATGGTATTTCTTTCAGTTCGTAGGTTCAACTTCTGCAGTTTGTCTTGCTTTCATTTTCCCAGGAGTTATTGTGCTAAGGTAATTTCTGCAGAAAAATCTGTTTTGGTTATATTTTAGAAAGTTTTTCACACTCTAAATTCTTTTTTTCTTACTTGTTTACAAATGGCAGGGATGTTCACAGAATATCAACAACAAAGGATAGGATTATCGCGGCGATAATGATAGTTCTTGCTGTAGTAACAAGTTCTATTGCCATATCAACCAATATATATAGCTCGATGAGAAATAAGTCTTAATTCTTCTCTTTTTTTCTGTTTTTTCACCCTAATGGTTTTTGTACTTGAGGTGCCTGTATTTTTTATATTCTTATGTATTTGAGAGTTAAACAGATGAAAGTTGAATAGGTTTGTGTGCTAATTAGCTTGTAAACTTGAAACTAGTGTATTGGAAATAATTAAGACGTTAATTTGATTTAACAAGGGGTTTTTAATTAATTTATTTATTTCAATATTCTTCTAGAAAAGTCAGTGCAATTGTTTAAACATTATTCAAGAATCAAATGACTAGAACAGCTATCAATTTCACAAGTTTGATTTAACCTTTATGCCAAAATTAAAGAAGCTAAAACAAGAATTGTCTTCATGCTCAGTAAAATTTCATATCAAGATTATCTTAATTATCTGAATGGAACTAAATCATCCGTCGAGCTTAAATTAAAGAATGCAACAAAAAATTTACTTTACTTGCATTCTTTACTTCAATCTAAACCATCAAAATTTTGGAACTACAAATAAATTCAAATACAAGTTCAAATTTCATACTAAAATATTAGTGATTCTAACAGCTTAAATATGGAATACAAATGGAAGACTAATAACTGGCATTTTAGTAAAATTCCAATGGAGCTGTGAGCATGACAACCCAATTACGAGGCCCTGGCATCCATCTTCATATCCAAAAACTCAGCTTCTTCTCACACCGAATCGCATCTGATTTGCTTTACCCCACCAAAATGATACACAATCAAGGGTTCCTGAGGATCCATTCGATTATCTCCTGTACAAGAATTAGAAACATAATGTACTATTAATCGAACTACCATGGACAACGCCCATGGTTTGGTTAAACAAACTTTAATCACACCCCCTAGTCTCTATTGCAGAATACAGATTGCAGGCTAGATTATGATCCATACTAAGGGCACAAGCCTGTTGTCGGTTCTAGATTATGCTCCGGTCAAAAGTATAATAAAAAAATAGAAAAATTTTAACGGACCTTCGATTTTTGGCAGATGGTGCAACCAATCCTCTTTTCTCCAAGCTTTTATATCGGTCCCTTAGAAGGGTGCAGCAACCCTGTATATAATACAAACGACAGGACAACAATCTTCAGTTTCTAACCTTTTAATACGAAAGAATCTGATGACACTTAAATGGTAACTTTACAAAATAAAAAAGATTCCTATGCGCACCTTCAGCTTCCGGAGAGAACCAGTGATTTCCTCAGATAATAGTACTTGAGAAGGAGCAGGATCAAATCTGGGATGAAAATCATCGGTTAGTTTTTCCATGCTTGGGATAAATGGCACTAATATATGTTAGAAAAGAAGGGAAAAAAAGCATTAAAAATTGTTGGTAAAACATTGAGAAGTCAAATATAAGAATAAAGAAAGTCTTATTGGATAAAATATTAGATTCAGGAAATGTCAAAAAGGCAACAGCATGTATACTTGTGCTTTCCCAAGCGCGGTGGACGTATTTTTAGCCTTTCTTGCTTAGCTACCATTCGCCGGATTTGTCGTTTCTGCTTCTCCTCATCTTCTTCAGCTATTTCCTTAATGATATCTGGCAAGCTGCAGCCAATATGAGAAACACATAATGGTAAGAAAGCATCCTTCACTGAAGTGAATCTCAATTGAAGAATAATTATATCATCTTACGAATCAATTTCTTTTGAAACTTCTTCTTTCTTCTTGGATTCTGCTTGTTTTTTCTGCTGTTCTTTGAGCCTAGCTCTCCTATTCAACTCAACTCGGGTGACCCTCTTTGTTTTATTAGACCTGCTACATGGCCATTCAATTAAAATCACATTGTACTATGATTAGGAAAAACATTTAATTTCTTAAAACATGGGAGGAACTTTTAAAGAAAAAGACCGAGCAGCACTGAGAATAACGTCAATAACTCACTACATATTGAAATAGCTCTTTAATAACGTCACACATGCTTTAGAAGCCATGAGATACACAAAAAAATTTTAAAAAACTAAACAATTTTCATATTTATTTCATGGTTTGTGATTGATTAAATGGAGCTTACTTTTTTTCTAGTGCAGCATCCTCATTCCCATTTAAATCCTCTTCATTATCATCACCATTATCCGCCTCAAGGAAGTACATCTAACACAAAGGCTTGTGCTGTAAAATTCTCTGCTTAATGTGAATAACATAAATGTAAAATGCAAAGACAAAATGACTCACATCTTCTTCATCAATCACTCTCTGGTCCCCAGGAACAGTTAATGGAACAGGCTGAGGTCCCAACTCGCTTTGATACACTTTCTGCATTTCCTCTGCGACAGCTTGAGCTAAAGAATCCTGAATTGAAGTTAAAAAAATTGCAATGATTGTTGAAAGTGCAACAAAGGGAATACCGGATGCCATAAGCACGTCAAATGTTATTAAATTACCTGATGAGCCTCAAATGAAGGATTATACGAGCAACCTGGAGGCTCAACTTCCACTGCTGGAATAACTGAAGGTATGGATACCTGTAAATGAAAATATAATCAAAAGGCCAATCCAAACCTAATTAAATATCTAAAAGGAACAAAATCAATAACATCCAAGCCTCGCCAAATTGAAAAAATCCTATGAAAATTTAGAAGAATAGAGCAATCAAGCACCTTTCTAGTTTTGTTATTGCATTCACCTGAAAAATTGCCAAGGATTCAAAAATTAACATTTGCCATTTCTACATAACCAACTAAAGTAATAGAAACTTTGAACATTTAAGATAGTCATTTAAAATCCAATACCTTCATTTTCCCACAAATCAACCATGCCACCATCATCCTGAGATAAAACCAAGGAAACAATCTCAATTTGAAGCTATAGCAAAAGAATTAACCACCAAACTCCACCATAGTTTTGGCTGCTCACTTCACTTACCTTAGGATCATCTCGAGTCACATCAGAATTTTTCTGGGTTTTCTTAGATTTCTTCCTATTTTGCTTCTGATTCGAAGACGGCAACGTTTGAACAAAAGGATTCTTCTTCAGTATGCTGTCAACGCGAAGTACCTTTTCTCTATGCTTCTCAATCTTCCGCTTCACAGAAAGATCTAAACTTTGCCCAAATATAAGTGTCAGATTGAAATTAAAATTGGCAAAAAGGTGAAGGCACACAAATGTCCATAAGGGAAGAGAAAAGGGATTACCTTTTGATTTATCGACGAAGAAGAGAGACTCAGTCGGTACATGGGAGAGCGAACCGCCAGAGAGAGCGTCTTTGGTAGATTTCTCAATGAAATCGTCTATGTCTTCAGTGCTTATATTCGCTCTCCAAGCTTTCTTCCCTTTTCTCGAGCTCTTCGCTTTCTTCCCCATCTCTCTCTGCTCTCTGTTTTCTTTTCTGTTGTGTGCTGCGCAGCTGCTAAGAGAAGAAAACCTCGACTGCCGCCGAGATTATATATCTTTAGCAACTGTACAACGGCGTCGTTTATTGCTGAGAAACGACGTCGCTGGAACCCCATATAATTTTTTTTATTCTTTTTCTGTCTTCTTAATTAAATAAAATCTATTACTAGATTAAATAGTAATAATTATTTCCATACAAGAAGCAAGAATAGAGTACCCTAAACTAAGAAGAGAACAGAATAATATGATAATCAACCGTTAGAATCGAACATTTTATAAATTCAATTGAGCAAACTAAGAAAAAATTTGAAAAAAACAAGTATATTTCCAAAAAATTGTATTTATTCATGCGGCTAACAGTTGTAATACATACAACAAAATTTATGAACATATATTTAACAATCTTTCAATTAAATTCCTGTAACTAACATCTACAAGAATAATCCTCTTCTACAATTGAATCATATTCTTAATAATGATCTATGCAAATACAAGTTATGAACACGAAGGTGTAAAATGAAGCTCAACAATATTCCGATAATCGAGATAAATCCCCAGATGATGAAGATTCTGCTATAGCATAGCATCCCAAAGCAACTTCCATGGTTTTCTTTACCTTCCCTTTGATAGTTAAGAGAAGCCAAGAATCCAAAAAGAAGAAGGCCTAAAGGAATACTTGTAAGGAAAATGGTTTGTTTAGCTACAAAATTTTTGTCACCAAAAAGCCCGTACATTGTTGATGACGTTATTGCACTTAAGGCTCCTGAACAGGTTCCTATAACTACTGTACTAATATAAAAACATCTGATGCTGTTACTCAGGAGCAGAAAAATCGCGATCGGCATTGGAAGCATTAGCAGTACTGTCAATGTTGGATAGGATATGATTGAGCTTTTCCTGAAAAAAATATTTGTGACAAAAAATTAGAACTCGTTATTGTATCTTACTGATATAAACCTTTCAAGAAAAAGAAAGTGTCAAAAACCTTGTATGCCACTCGAACAAAACTGTGAAGATTCTTCCAAAAAACCCGAATGTAGACGATACTTCCAATAGGAATAATGTTTGATTGCTGCTGAAAGATTCCGAGATTCGTCTAAGGTTGATCATATAAACTATAGCAAGTACAGCCCCAAATGAATTCACCAAATAAAATAACCAGAAATTGGTATTTATAAGTAAGTCTTTCCATCCACAATCATTTCTTTCCATTAACACCTCATTCACTTTCTCTTCAATCTCTCTTTCTCTAACAGCTAACTTTTTGGTTGTTGATTCAAAATAATCATTAGACATCTCTGGCATTACTTGAGGACTGGATTTCTTTATTGGGTGCAAAGTAACAATTAGTGCTATAACAAATGGTAACATCAAAACAAATAGTAAAACAACTGCTCGAAATCGCGGATAAATGTGTGTGAACTTTGGTATAACACTTTCAATTACTATATATACCCCACTTGAAATAGCTAATAGAAAAGAAATTGCAGACATTTCTTTATTTCCTTCATATTGTGTGTACTTCAAACCGAAATCAATAGTTGCTACTGTTAATCCAATTGCGGTAGGAGCAAGCCACATGAAGAAAAGAGAAGTAAGTGAAGTTTGAGAAGCTTCCTTCCCTTGAATACTGTCAACTAAAATACTGCATATTTTTCCACTAAATGCAGAATAGCTTGAAGTTATTGCAATCATAGTACCATGAGAAGCATTAAAGTTTCTCATGGCTAATACATAACAATATGTACCAACCCAACATGTGCTATGCCCTGCAAGAGCATTTAGTAGTAAAATTTGGGAATAAGACAAGCTAGAGATTTTATGTGCAATGTAGAGATATTGCACACCATAACCTACTAATCCGAAGATTAGGCCAACGATTAAGATGATCGAAGCAGGAAGATAATCGGCTGCAATGCCTGATAAGACCCCGAATAGCTTCCCGATTTCTGAAGAAACCATTAAATTGTTTAACTGCATATAGGAGAAATGGCAGTGTTGTTTTTCTGATATTGTTGTTGTAGAACATTCAGAGAAAATTGAATAACGAGCACCATTTATTGCTTGTAGCAAAGTAATGCAGCCCAAGACAAGCCAAGAAGATGGATTTCTGAGGCTTAATTGATTGCTCATTTTCAATTTTCTTTTTCTTGGTTATTTGGATGGTAACTAGATAAGGGAAATACTGATATGCTTATGTCAATTTATATAAGCACATGAAAAATAGACATTTCTCTAATTTTGAGGTTGTTATGAGTAGCTATCAAACATTAATACATACACTGATCAAATTGAGTTATAATACAGCAATAGTTATTACAAAAAAGATAAGAAAAATCAAATTCAGATGTTAGGCAAATGAATTTTTGTTTCTTGAAATTGTTTAATTAGTGATTGACCAATTATATGTGTATTTGCTTTTTGTTTTTCTTTTATTTTCTTGATAATAGCAAGAAAGGTAGAGAAACTGAGTCTACATAAAACTGAAATATATTTTGATAGATTAGCATGGTGAAAAGAAAGAATGGGAATGATTGCATTGACTAGAAAATTATAAATTTATAACCATATGAACTTGTTTAAGTTGAGGCTTTATGTATAAAGTCACACAAGAGAAGACAAAAATGAACTTTAGGGGAGGAATTTAGATATTAATTATATTCATGGAGGTTTACTTTTTGAAACATGTGTATGTATGATCACCAAAGCATTCTAATTTTAATGAAATTGAAAAAATTTCATGTGGAAATTTATTTTAATTTAGTGCTACGTTCGACAATAATTTTTTAACATATATTTATATTATTTGTAATGTTTAGAAGTATAACATTTACACCGGTGTTTAGAGTTTGAAAGAACGGATTACAAAATTCTTTCTTTAACATTTGATGCAAACAAATGCCGTTAAACTAACTGACAACTATTAAAATAACTAACGGATATAAAAACAATTAATTTTGCGAAACAGAACTATCAGAATAATATTTCATTTATCAGAATAATTTTTTTTTTTTTTATGAACATTGGAAACTAGTTACATATTGCAGCAAGAACATTTTGCAGATGAACACAGTCAAACTTCAAGTCCTTTATAGTACAACATTAATTAATTAATTATATATTCTGCAACATACTTCACATGGTGACAGTGAGAGTGTTCATAATTTACAGAGTCATTAATAAAGACTACATATTTTCTGTCATCTATCTTTTCAAAATTTCCATCCACCAAACAGAATATCTGCATAAAATTAATTGCCAGTGAAAAAAAAAAATTCATTCATTGCAATTTCTTTACCACAGAAATTGGTTTCTTTCTTCCTGGATTCTTTGAATTTTGAAGCTTACAATTAATATTGAAATGACATATATCAAATATCCTCATATATACAACCACATCTTTTGATTATTTGTTCATATCAGTTTTGAAATATGGAGTATAATGAATTAGGTTTAAACGAGAACTCAAGACCGAATCGACTCTAATAAAATATGAACAGAGTGTATTGCATCCATAGACAATGATGAATCGAGAAAAATTTTCTACGTCCTATCTACAGTTGAACTTTACCTGTAAGGTTAAAAATTTAAAATATGGAATAGTATTGGAAAGGCTCAACCTAAATATTGATGGAGACACGTGTGCCAACAAAAAAAAAAAAAAAAGAGGAGAACAATTAATCCTAAAAAAAAAAAAAAAAGGAGAACAATTAATCCTTTTTAATTAATAATTTGTTGATGATCAAATTCTTGTTTAAAGAGTTAGTTAAGCTATATTTTCACCAAAAAAATCTAATTAAAGGATTTGATTTATCTGTGGCTCAAGTATAAGACAGAGATTTAGGAGGGTTTACAAATTGGAGAAAAGTCATTTTCCAAAAGCTAAAATTTGTGGTTTCACCGTTCCAAAAACTCAAAACCCTTTCTTCCCAAAATTGTGGGGCTTAAAGAAGTTGCAAAGAAACATCAACCCAAAACGCAAACGGCATCTCTGCCTCTCAAATACTATCCATAAACCAACAAAGAGTTTGAAAAAACTTTCTTCTTCAAATGTCTATTAGACATGGCTGACCATTTTTGTAGGTTAATTTTATTTTTTCCTGTTGAATTTTAATGTTAATTCTTGCTTTACATGTGAACAACAAGGACAAGGATTTTCTCTGTACTGTATCATTTGATTTCATCCATAAATTATTTTTATTTTAATTTTTTTAAAATCATTTTTGGCCATATTGAAATTCCAAATAATATTTGATATTTATTTGTAAGAAACCGGCCCCGTGACCTAAAATGTTGTAATCTTTGTCACAGTCTGTGGGGTTCATTTGCATATAGAAGCTAACTTGATCAACTAGGACCAAAACAATCTATTTTTAGTTGTTTGTGTGTCATATATATACATATATAGTGAGGTAAATCTAGAAAATAAATAGGGTACGCGCGCGAGTCTGTGTTCTGTTGTACTCGAGTTCAAATCATTAAAAATACATTCAAGTTCAAGTTTGAAAAATCATTTAAGTTCGATTCGTTTAAAAATATCTAAGTTTAAACTTAAATTAGACTTGATATGTTTCGGTCCTAAATCAAATCGAGCTTAACTCTTTTTACAAGTTCGAATTTAATTGAATTTCGGTTCATTTCTGTATTCGGTAATAGAACTCGAATTTAATTGAATTTTTTTTTTAATTTCATAGTCCAAAAAAAAATTTAATAAATAAATTAAAGCTCATGATTGAATCTAACAAGAGTTGTTAGTGAAATAGGCTTAAACTTGGAAAATACATAAAAATATCTAAAGATTCCATCCATCCAACTCACAATTTCTTTAGAGTCACAACCTGAATTATATACAAATATAATTCTAACATAATAATTAATTAATTTCATAAAAATACTAAATAAAAAAAAGAAGAAATAATGAATTTTTTATGTGATTTTAATATATATAATTAATTAAAAAATGGTGATAATTTGATATGGATATGCATAAATATAATATATGTTGTGAAAAAATTAGAAACATTGGGAGAAAGACAAAATAATATAGCTGTCAAGAATGTGATTTGTTTGTTTCAAAAAGAAAAAAGAAAATAAAAAAGATTGTGATTTGTTTGCATGGGAAGAGCTCTATATTTGCAGACACACAACAAGCTTATGAAGAAGAAAGAAATTAATGAAAAATAGAAGAAGAAAGAACTCTATATTTGTTATCATGACCAATTTGAAAATGACCCTTTTAGTCTATTCATACGAGAGAATGCTTTATGATTGTGACTTCCCATATAGATATAGGTGGAGCCAAACTCTAAAATTAAACCAAAAAAAAAAAAAAAATTTACATTATTTTGTAAATTTAAAATAATAAAAAAAAAATTTAGAGTTTGGGCGGCTCGAACTCCCCCAGTCCCCCCTCCCTCGCTCTGCACGTATATATAATACTATTTTCTAAATTTACAATATTAATTATATAATCAATGAGACTAATAAAATTAATTGTTTAATAACTATTAGGAAGTGATCTTTAATTACATTTCAAAACTTTAATTATTTTTTACTAGTAACTTTGAAGAAGAATAATATTTGTGTGCGGTGTTGGCTTGCAAGCTCCAAAATTTTTTTAAATTTATATATATAGATGATTTCAAAATTCTCTGTGTGCATGTACGTCAGAGGCACTTATCACAACTTTATACATCTAATAGTTTTGTTCCTATTATTACATTTGCATGTGAATGTACTTTCCCGAAGTGCAACTCACGTGAGTTTTTGCTAGCAAGTCACAAGAATCCTGTACTGCTAGCTACTCTACAAAAGGGATAATTTTTATTTTTAGAAAATCAAAACAATCGAAATTTTTAGTAGGTTTTAATCCTCCAGTATCTAAATTTCAATCATCCGATTAATTTAGATTCGCACCGGATAGATCTACAAAGAGGAGCAAAACATTTCTTTCTGAGTGTTTAAAGAAACTTTATATCTAGAGCTCAAAATCAGAATACCAACTTATTTTATTTAAAATAAGACTGAGAATTTAATTGTTATCAATTAATTAAAAATACCCTTTTCAATAATCTTTTATTCCGGGAAAAACATAGCTAGCTATCAATATTAATAAAATTTTCATGTAAAGTTAGGAAACTTAATCGCACTGTTATTCGGAGATTAACAGGCAATTAGATGAGCGAAATTAAAATTTTAAGTAAATTTTATGTACAAATTGACGAAATTTGATTTCTAATATTGAAGAATTTTATTTAAATATCACTTTCGGTCGAATCATAGAGACGTGTCGGGAAAAAAATGATTTTGAGAGAATGTTGATGATGCTCAAAGCCCTTAAAATACAATGAAATTTGTCTTTAATTTGATTGTCATTTTATGAGAAAATTTTCACTTTTAAAGTAATTTGGAATGTCACGAGAAACGTTTCTGCATAAGTAAATATATATAAGTTAGAAATGCATTATTGGACCTTAAAGATAAATTTTGATTAAGGGTTTTGTTTTTGTTTGTTTTATATTTTATTTTATTTTGTCACATGATATGATATAATAATAATAATAATAATATATAAAAATAGGACACAAAACCGTGTACAGGTCAGCAATGCACTACAAGGAAGAACTGACACATCAGCTTTACCTAATGGGTATTATTAAAATTGCTAATTAATTACTAAAGATGAGTTTAATTAACTAAAGCTTGTTATTTTTGAAACCATATTCTTTTATAATGCATGTGAATTAGAACAATCGCAATCAAAATCCAAAACAGAATCTTCTCAATCTCCAACTTTTTTGCAACTAACCAAACACTCTCAATATTAGCATTTTCCATATTTAACACATAACTAAATGTTAGAGTAGTTTTAGATTTTACTTATATAATTATATAACTTTTTCTTTTCCATTTTCTAATTTGTTCACATACTATAATGTTAGAGTAGTTTTAGATTTTACTTAATATAAGCATTTTTTGCAACTAACCAAACACTCTCAATATTAGCATTTTCCATATTTAACACATAACTAAATGTTAGAGTAGTTTTAGATTTTACTTATATAATTATATAACTTTTTCTTTTCCATTTTCTAATTTGTTTATATCAGTTTTTATATTTCTAAGTTTGTGAATTTTTGATAAACACAGATGGTTCCACTTTTTCCCTTTTTGATATAAAAAATTACTCCGTCCGTTTCTAAAATATAAGTCGTTTTGAGTATTTTAAAACGTAATAAATAATGTTTTTTCAATATTATCGTTATTTACATTAGATAAAACAATTACCTGTATAAGTTACTCTTAGTTTTGAAATAAAAGGTAATTTGATAAAATTACTATTAATTTTATTATAATTTATGAGAATTAATTATTTTCTTAATCTCCTTGTAAAAACCTTAAATTACTTATATTGTTAATTTAAATTCAAGATCTGAAAATTTCTGACTCCTAACATGTTTGAAAAGTTGAATAGGAGAGAGTGATAATTTATTGTTATACCCATCTTGAGAATTTACAAGAACAAGGAAGTAGCTTGAAAAAGATTAATTGACCAAATGATTATTAATGTTATATATATGTGAAACTACCACATGCAATGTAGGTGCAATCATTATAAGCCTTTTTTTACAAATTAAATAAATAATTAAAAATTATCATATATATATATATGTGCTAATTAATTAATATGCAAACATTATTGGGTGGGAAAACAAATTAATTAAATTATTTAGATAGATAATAATGAAAAAAGATCAATCATATATCAAACTTGTCTGAGCCATGAAGCAATCCTAGCTAATAGGGTTCAAACATGTAAAGACAAATAATTGCTTATCTGTTTAATTTGTATTTTTCCAACTTTTTCGCAATATAACATCATTTCAATAGGAATTGAGTCAGGCTCATTTGAAAAATTTTTTTTAAAAATTTTTTTAGATTTGTCAAATTCTGATTCCATTCATCTTCAAACAAGTGGTGGTGCCTATTTCATGGAATTAATTATCATTTTGTTCTCCTTTTAATTCAGTAAAATTGAGTATCCTCTATTGCATGCATATCATGAGCCCCTCTCTCTCTCTCTCTCTCTCTCTCTCTCTCTCTATATATATATATATATAATTCTTTTTTTCTTTTAAGAACTACATATGACTAATATATAAAGAGTCTATCTAGTCAACAAGTAGAAAAAATCTATTGAAAGGGCTTGATATGAAGACTTTGCTACTCAAAACCTAGCTATTAATCTTGAAGAGTTTAATTCCTTAATATATATATTTCTATTCGTATTAATTTTTGTTTTCAAACAAGTTCATAAATGCATTATTATGATAATTCTACTTACGCATTCAAATATTTCGTGCAAAAACGAAACCTGCGTTCGATATATAATGAGTAATTAACTTGCTAATTGAGTTAAGAATTAGGGTTTTTAGTTTCGATTTGAATGAATTATTTTTCATTTAGATGAACAAATGATTTGAGTTAAATGGTTAATTAATATAGAAGGAGGTAGATATATAATTGATAAATATAGAAAAGTAAATTAAGAAATGGTGGTGAAAGGGAATTAAAAAGCCTGGGTAGAGGAAACACAAGAATCTAAAAAAGTGCAGGAAGAGGGAGCAATATAAGGTAAGGCAAGAGACAAGGTAAGAGCAGGGTATGTGTATGGAGAGTATTGTTTTGTTGTAATGATTAATGGGCACACATGTGAATAGGTGGGTACTTCATTTGTCTGTGTAGAAAGGAGACAATGTTGGAAGCAAGGATCGACCCAAACCCTTGCAATATATATATATATCGACTGTGATTCATTATACTACTTGTTTGTTGGATATATAACATCCCGTGACTCAGTTTTTATGTATATATATTGCAGATGAATTAATATCACTTAATTATAATTAACCTCCCCTTAATTAATCTTTATCCTTTTTACTTTATTACGACTGGACATTCCATCTCCGATCTTCTTTCACTGTATCGATCAAGTAAAACTTTCTCAACAGCAGCAACTAGTAGCTATATGATTGAAAAACCTAATAAAATTTGTCTAAGTAAAACTTTCTCAACAGCAGCAGTTACATGATTGAAAGCCCTAGTAAAATTCGCTCGGTAAAACTTTTTTAACAGTAGCAGCTAACAGCTACATGATTGAAAACCCTAGTAAAATTTATTAGGTAAAACTTTTTCAACAGCGACAACTGATAACTACTGGATCGAAAGCCATGGTAAAATCCATAATCAATTAAAATGGGTAACCTGGTTTGGGGAAGATGCAAAGTATGGATTGAAAGGTAGATTAGATTAGAAACTGATTAGATTAGAATTGAGAATAGATAAAGAGAGATTTCAATTGTCATGGGAAAAAGAATATGAATAGAAATGATGATATGAAATTCTCAAATAGATGAGATGTTGGAGAAGGCTGAAATGGCACGTGTGGAGAGAGAGAGGAAAGAGAAGACAAAAGGTGACGGCTGGTAAGAGAAGAGAGAGTAAGTGAGTAATGTAAGTGTAAGAGAAAGAGAGCCTAAAAAAAAGGTCCCCCGTGAGGAGTGTTTGGATGCATTCCAAAATCACAACTAAACATCCTTTTGTTTCTTCTCTCTTTCACTCCTTTCGATGGCCATTTTTGCAATTCCCTTCCCATCACGAGTTCATCATTCCCCATTCCTTCTCCTCTTTCCCTAAATACCCTTTTCTCTATTTATAGTAAAATCACCTAAAAGGAAATTAATTTTCTTTTTCTTTTCTTTTATTACTATTATTTTCCTTAATTAATTAATTAATATCATATTTCTATCACTACAACTAATACACAACTCACCTTTTCCTCAATGAGAATGATGTAAGATGAAATATTTTATAGACATTTGAAAGTTCTAATTTGAAGCATTTCATCATTGGCTTTGGATTTTTTTATATTTAAAACTAAAATGAAAAGGACTAGTGATGTATAATAAATTATATATAGTTTATTCACATTTTTCTTAAGAAAAATAGAGATCGAAAAGGACTATTAGTAATATATAATGCAAATTTATTTGTCTAAAAATGAAATAAACAAAGAAACAAAGAGATGATGAGATGCAAGTTTGGGTTTGTGTAGCTAGCTATGGCAATATTTGGTAAGAGATATTATAATGCAATTGAGTTTTAAATTCAAATAATTATATATTTGAATTAGTTTATGTATACGCATTCATCAAAATTTACCACTCACTCAAATCAATCTAAAAAAATAAATCGCTATGCGTTTAAGAAATATTATATATAATGCAATTGAGTTGTAAAAAATTTTTACCAATAAAAAATTTAAATTAATTTTTGGAATATTTATCTCAGAGAACTATTTGGGTTATATTTGGTTTTGCACCTTTTGTTTTCAATAAATTAAAAATTCTTAATTAATTGAGTCCTACACCATATAATAATTAATATCTAGTTTATACCCTTAAGTAATATATATGTTATACCTAAACTAGCTAGGTTCCAATCAATAAGTTTTAATGGAATTGAGAAAATGGCATGCTTATATGTATATAAAAAAAAATATTATCCTAGAGGAATATTATTTTTATTTCCAAAAATAATTGGAAAAATGGAAAAAACGCATGTATATATATGTATATTATTCCTTTTATAAGTTTCAGAAGTTAAAGGGCATTGAAGTAAGTCCAGCTAGAATGTATATTATATTTTGCTGTGAAGAAACTGAGGCAGTCATGTGGGAAGAAAACAGGAGAATCCTATAGATTTGAGAGCTTCATATCCTCCTTTTATATTAAACAGCCTCTCACAGCCTTTGCAGAGAGTTCATAGAAGAAGAAAAGAGAAGAAGAAGAAGAGAGCAGTTGATAAGAAAAATAATAGCTCAAAGATTATCTTTTTTTTTAAAAAAGAAAATTAAAAAGAAAAGATAGAGAGAAGATATTAACACCATGGTTTCTAGAGAGACCAAGAGAGCAGCTCTGCATGAGAGGCTCCAACTTCTTCGTTCCATCACCAATTCTCATGCTGTAATTCCCTCAAACCCTTTTTCTTCCGTTGATTTATAATTCATCAACATAAAAACATTAATTCTTTTATATTTGCATATAAATATTTTTATTTAAATAAAAAAGAACCATATTTGATTCTAATTCCATTAATTTCACTTCTATGGATGATCACTTTTTCTTTCGATCCTATTTAATCTTGTTCCTAATTCTTCTGTTATTCTTTTTTAGTTCTTCTATGGAAGGCAAAATTTTCTTTCTGTATCTATCATATTCATATATACATATAAAGAATAAAGAGAAGAGAATTAAAGATTGCATGTACATGGTACTTTTATAAATAAATTATATATGCTTGTGCATGTAACAGTTGAACAAAACATCAATAATAGTTGATGCAACAAAGTACATTGAAGGGCTAAAACACAAGGTAGAAAGACTGAATCAAGATATAGCAGCTGCACAAACTTCGAGTCGCCAAACTCCATTGCCAATGGTACGATTTTTAATTAATTAATTAATTGAGTAATTTTATATATCTTGTATTATTATTATTATTATTTGATAAGACTAATTTCTTGTTTATTAATAGTAATATTTGCTTTTAGTTTTTTGTCTTGTTAATCCCTGTAATTAAATTAATTATTACCATTGGCCTTATTATATATTTTCAGGTTACAGTGGAAACCCTAGAAAAGGGTTTTCTAATAAATGCATTCTTGGATAGGAGTTGCCCTGGCTTGCTTGTCTCCATATTAGAAGCATTTGAAGAACTGGGTCTGATTGTTCAAGAAGCTAGGGTTTCTTGTACTGACAGTTTTCGATTGCAAGCTGTTGGTGGACAGGTAAAGATAGATTACAATTTACCTTTTTGTTATTAAATTTGTTTCCTTCCCTTTATATTAGCTAATTTATAAAGTCTTGAGAAGGTACATAATGTGTTAATCATTTAGGTTAACTGTTAATGCTAATATTGGAATTGTTGTTGGGTTATTATTTTCCATTTAGCTGTTTTGGTGTGAGGCTGACTCTATAAAAGTCAGGAATGTCTTGTTGCTAGCTGCTATATTTTTATAGGTTTTTGCTTGTTTGTGAATTTTCTATTTCGCTACTGGTGGTTTGGTGTAACGGTAAAGTTACTCTACTTATGACGCAAGAATCATGAATATAAATTATGGAAATCGCCTCTCTGCGAACGTAGGAGGATAGCTGCACACCTTAAACCTACTCAGAGTCTATAAATTTGATATACTTCTTGCAATAAATTGGAATATAGATTATGGAGTGATCATGTGTAGTTGTACGTAGTAAACGAAGTGGGGTCTTTTCTTTTTCTTTCTTTCTTTCTGTTTTGTTTTTTTTAATTTGGAATTATTTCATTTTGTCGAAAAAGAAAAATTCGATTATTAGCACCCATTGAATTATAGATGTTGAATATTCTATGGATTGTTCAGTTTTTTTTTTCTTATATAATTTCTGAAGAAATAATTATAATAAATCATTTCTGATGTAATAAAAATTGGATTTTGCAGAATGAAGAACAAGTAGAAATCATTGATGCTCAGATGGTGAAACAAGCAGTCTTAGAGGCTATCAAGAACTGGAGTGAGAATAGTACTGATGAACAAGATTAATATCAGATTAATCTTGTTTTATTAATTATAAATATCCTCGTTATTTTGATTAATTAATTTCTTGTTTCTAGCTAGATATAATTAACTACGGTTGCCAATGCTGTTAATCAAGAATTCAAGTTAATTATTACAATTCGAGAAGGCCAGTTAATTATCATTTTACTGAAAGTGAAATGATTTAATTAATTAAGAGTAGAAGAATTTCCACTGTGAAAAGCATATGGACGAGTCTTTTTTTTTTTCCTTTGTTTTGTTGCTATGAAAATCCAAAACAATTGCAAGTTCTTTAGGGTATGGATGATATTCCATTTATGTGAAATTACAATTACGCTATATAAACTACAAAGAAATGTGATTTATGTGATTTTTTGTTTTCATGTGTAGTCCAAAAAAGAATAATAATACTAATAATAAAAAAAAGATTCCATAAATCATAAATATGTAAAGTCAGGCTGGCCATTTCTACTTTTCAACTAGCAAGAAAATCATTATAAAAAATTTCATCATTCCATATATATATAAGAACAATTAATTAAACAATTTCGGAGTTAGGTTTGAGTACATTGAAAGGAGTTTATTGTCTCCGTTAGTATTTGGATTTATTAAGTTTTTCCTGGATTGAAAATATTAATAAAAATTGAATTTGCTGATAAAAAATTAATTAAATTAATTACAGTAATGTGGGAAATTAATTCCAGGAAACATGGAAATAACAATGGCCTAGCTAGTGTTATCTAGATCTCTTTATATTAAACCTAATTGTATATGGTATTAACTATTAATGGAGTACTAATTAATTAAGTCTTTGTAATAAACTATGGGGACATTAGGGAGCTTCAGGTCAGAAACATATCTCACAACAGCAAAATTTTTATATCCAACAAGGAATCTTTTTGGTGATTTGAAAATGTTGTCTGATGTTGATTTATTGTTCTTATCTTTAATTTTTAATTTTCCATAGTTCATAAATACTTATACAATGATTTTATATTAAAAATATTAATAATTGAAGAAGATGAAATGAGCGAAGGATAAACCAAATTAAATAAGATAATGAAAATGAATTTTTTTTTCATTTATTGAACAACAAAATTACCAAATGCCAATTAATTTTTATTTATCAAAGGCATGTAAAATTAAATTCTACATATAATTCTTGGTAATTAAGCAATGATATCATTCCTTCTCCTGCTTTTGGCATCCATCAAGAATGCTCTTGTGATGTGCACAGACAAACATGGGTTCTTGGCTACAAAAGCTTCAAATTTAGCAGAAAAAACAATATCCTCCAGATTCTTAATAATGAAATTCAAGGCAGTCTCCTTTAATATTTTATTAGAACAAACATCTGAAATCTCCAAGACATCAAGAACATTAGATGAATCTAGAGATTTAAGCATGTATCTTTCACAGAATTTGAGCAAGAAGTGAATCTCATATTTGTCAGCTGCCAATGTCAATGAATAGATATGCTTCTCCAGTTTCTCTATACCCAAGTTTCCACTGTAGAGAAATTCCAGGAGCGACTCAAGCTCTTCATGGTTTAGCTCTGCAAGTGTTATTGTGTCATTTGCTGGGGCTTTGCATGAATCTGAGTCTAACATGTTCTTGAATATTTCTGATCTTGCTGCCTATATATTTGCAGATCTTTTCAGATTAAAAGGAAAAAAATTTGGATTTTGTGACATGTTTGAGAGGAGGAGGAGGAGAGAAAGAGAATACCAGTAAGGCTCTATGGGCAGAAATGGAAGGTCCACCATTGCCAGGCTTGAGTTGAATGTCAGTAAGAATTTGTTCTTTGAATAAAGAAACAAAGCTGCTTAGGAAATTTACTCTCTCATTTAATTCATCTTCTTTTTCCTTCATATTGTTCATCCATTTTGGAATATTTGCAAGTGGCTGAGGCTGAAAAAATAAGCAAAACTGCAACTTTAATTGTGAAAATGAAAATAAATTTGTTTATTAACCAAGTAAAACGAAGCAACCAGAAGAAACAATGGAAGTAGAGCTTGCCTTACAGGAGTTTGGGAAAGAAACGACAGAGGTATTGACTTTGTCGTTTTCAAACTTGTTCATTAAAGATATTACATTTTTAGCTCCTTCATAGCAAGAACCACATATGGTGTTTCTTGGAGGCCTAAGGATAGTGGGCACTGAACTACAAATACAGCAATCCATGTATGTTAGCCTTTTCTTGTTCAGAAACACCAAAGAATGAAAAATTATAAGAAGATGGTGTTAATGGAGGAAGGAGGAGAAGAAGAAGGCAAAAGGGTTTCTTTCAGTGAGCTCATTTTAAGCCATTGCCAACTTTTCTTAATATTATAAGGGTTTGTTAGAGCATATTCTTGCTTCTTGTTAATTAATTTAATGTAATGAAGGGGACAACTACATGATTGCTTTATGTTAATTCTACTTATTTTAATTACTTTAAATGAAATGTCCACAGCAGCCTTTAATGGAAGGTATTGGGCAAGAACACTTGAAATCCATACCCTTGACCAAACTCTTTTCTTTCATTGTTTTTTCTTTTTCCCCTTTTTACTGTGTTGATCTAGCAAATTGGTCCAAACAAGTTTTTAAATGGGGTTATTAGAATTTGAATCATAAAAGGAAAGAAGAATAAATAATTTTTAAGGTAAATAGATTTAAAGAAAGCTTGAGTAAAGATATAATTATAAATGAAATAACAACAAAATATGAGATGTATTCGGTAATAATTTTTTTATAAGTACTAAAGGCTAATGTTTCATTTTATAAAAAGTTAACACATATAACATTTAGCTTTTAACGTTTTATGAAAAATTATTCAAACAGTTAACAGCTATTAAACCAGCTTTTGCCGAATAGACTTATGGAAGGTAAATGGTATTGTTGTAAAATCAAAAAAAAGATTGTGGAAGTTGTTGGGAATGTCTTTTTGAGTGAGTTTCAAAAGAAAGCCCTCTAATAAACAATCAGTTTGGTTAGAGAAAGAATCAGAAAGTTAGGAAGAAGAAAAGGACTTTCCAACCTTATAACAACCAATGTGTGTGAGACAACCACGTCTTGGCAACTACCTTAACATTATAAGTACAATTACACCAAGTTGTTGCTTTAAGCCAGGTTGGCTTATCAAACCCCTTATCATTATAACCCACCCTCCTTAATGATTGGATTACATATAATGGCCAAAGAATTCAGACAATTTTGAATTAAGGATGTGATTCGCAAAATTGACTGTTTTGATAACTGTTAGCTCTTATAAAACGTTACCTTAATTTTTAAAAGTTATACTATTGAACACTATAAAAAATAGCATTTAATATTTTAACCGGTCAAAATGCTAGAAACTATCTTACAAACTGTTACCCATCACAGCCTAAATTTCATTATTTTAAAATGCAACTTCCAATTTTTCTAAATCACCAAAATATGCTTTGTAGATAAGGATAATGAATTGAATTATGACAATTAGGTGGAAGAAACTTGATCATTAAACCATCAATCTAATGCATAAGGTCAGAGGTTCAATTCGAACTTTCCCTCCCCGATCCGTTACCCAAAAAACAACTTAAAATAATTATTAGGTTTCTTTGCTTCTGAGAAAACATAGAAAAGAAAGTATAAACTTGATACAAGTCAATTTTTCAGGAACATAATATCAAATGTAGAGAGATTACGGATAGATATCACTTGGACAGGGTTGATCAGTAATGCTGGAAGCAGCAACCTTGTTTTGCTTCCCATGGTTTAGTGGGAGTCACAGTAAAATTTCCAAGCAGTTGAAGTATGGTTTGTGCTTCAGGGGACAGCATCACAGCTGAATGCTTGAAAAGTTAGATTATTATAACAGAGCAAAGTAGAACAATAGCATATACCAACAGATTACTTCTGCATTGCCTAAACATCCCTACTATATCTTGTTGTAGGCCATAGTATGTATCACCTGAACCATATCTAGGCCAGACAATTTCCATAGAAATAGAGAACTGCTGTCTCCCTGGGTAATAAAACTTGTAAAACCTTAATTATATTTCCCATCACTGTCATATACAAGCATGTCTTGAAAATTGTCTGCGAACATCTTATGGTTGTGCACAAAGGTATAGCATTTTCCGTATACACCTATCCTATCAAGCGACTAAGTTTGCTTCATCAGTTTCAGGTATCATAATGTCAAGCCTCATCATAGGCTTGTACTTTTCAGGGATTTGTGCGCCTACTTGCATGCACATTTCAACTACAGCAGGAGCCTTCCCATAAAACTTTTTGAGTGCACTCTTCAAGGGAGGCCCTTTAGGATCTCTAACATGCCACACATAATTAGGTGGGAAAACTTCCTCTACAGTAGCGTCCTGCCAACCGTGTTTTCCATCTCTCCACTGGTGCTTGTGTTCCCCACAAAGCTTAACATTGTGACCCCAAGGTCCCACGTGAACCTCTGGGCAATATCCACATGCCTTCACTGTGTATTTCCTCATTAATTTCCTCACACCCCATCTAACTTTTTCATACGCATCAATGGTCTCCTGTGCTATCCTTGGTAAATCTTCTAATGGAGGAGGTGAAAATCGCTCCGAGGCCCTATATGTATCAAAATCAATGGAAGTAGAAGGATTTCCAAAACGCCATGGCCTTGGCTCCTCAACATATCCACCTCTGTCTATCACTTTCTTTCCGATCATTCTGATTGGATTCTTTCTTCGGCGAGAAGGATACTCTGGTATGTCCACACCAGCTTGAATGCAAAGTTCAACAACAGCTGGAATCCTGTCATAGTCAAACCGAGTTTCATGCTTGATTCGCCGACCAAAAGGGTCATAGAGATGATACGATTCAATGGGAACAAGTACATCATTGATGGAACCCCTGATCCATGAGTGGTGGCTGTGGCGGTTATCATTAGTTGGACCGAGGCAGTTCTGAATTTGGTGCCCTGTATCGCCAACATGAACTTCTGAGCAAGCACTGTACACAAATCACAGCACATCAATGTCCAAGCCCTAATGGAAAACAAAGTAATTTGGTTGAACTAATCATCAGGCATGCTACCAGAAGTACAACTTGCCTGCAAGCAAATACGGGAACAAGATGCAAGAGCTCGGCAACTCCTTTTATCAAAATTTTCCATGCATCCAGTACCTCATATGCAACAGGAATCAGACCAGGGACAAGTAATCCATTTTTTGGAGGTTCAAGGGGCTTCTCAATACCCATTTCTGCAAGTTTTTTGTCCTCCCTTGCAGCCTTCTTGATCAACTTGAAAGGAATTGGATAGGGCTTCTTTTTTTTTTTTGGTAATATGGGTGGAAGATCCACATTCTGGGGATATAATTCTTGTTCCTTAGCACTTCGATTGTGATGGGGTCTCTGGCTAGCATAGAAGATAGTCCTGGAAATTATCGGTACACCTTTCTGAAGTTTGTGAAGCCCAAACTGCAACTAGAATAAAGTTGTGTTAGAAGAATATTGGTTTATGAATTATGAAGAATGGTCTTGGGAATAAAATCGAGTAAATTAATAGAAAAATTCAACATAATTAAAGTGCAACAAGATTCTTGTTATTGTTTTGCCATAACTGGCTTATAATATGAAATATGAGGCAGGCATTTCATGTCTGGATTAACAGATCCTCAACAAAAGGAAAAGGCATATAAGAGAAGGATTATAAAACCTTCAACGCAAGTGTTTCTGAACTTAAAGGTGACATTATAGGCCTTTTGAACTCCATGGTACCCAAGTAATGACCTGCACAATATAAGCCAAGCTAATGCATATTACTGAAGGAATTGTACTGTCCTTTAGCTTTACTCTGTCATTTACACTGTAGCATTTTAAAGACCATATGGCACACAAATTTTCATCTTTTACATAGCTTATCTTTCTAGGTAAGCATATGCACCTATATAAGAGTCAACTTATCTTTGTAGGTAAACGTATGCACCTATAGCTATAGAGCATGGAATAAAAAGAATAGTTCACCATTCAGAGATGGATTCCATGAAGTAGAAGATAGTGCAGGCAGCTGTTGGAGCATTTATATACAAAGCTATATTCTTTGTACTTGTTGTATCCCTGCAAGAGAAACCGGACTCTGCAAGTGCTGCATCATCAAAATTGAGCTAATGAGTTGACTGCGTGATTGAGAATGGGCTTACAGAGACATCATTTCAGTTAACATGTAACATAAATGAGTCGGTAACTTTTCAATTTTTTTCTTCCTTTTTCAAAGGCTGAGGAAAAAATAAAAAACTTGACTTAGACTCAATCATCTCCATCACCATTCTAACAATTTATGAGTAAGGTACGTTACTAATTGAAAATCAAAGATAATTTATCTTCAGAAACTTGACTGGTATGAATTCCAGCATCATTATGATATGAGCTACGACAACTACCAATAAGTATATTATTCAAATTCTTCAAACAGCCGCACCTTTTATGAGCATTCCAAAAATATCTCTCTTCCAAGATCATTCCTATGAGTAATTTCTTCAAACACATTGTGAGCCTAGATTGAAGTCATCTAATTACCAAGAACTTACTTTTCTAACTGCAAATAGCTATTCATATTCCTATAAGGCCGTCATTTCTTGAGTTAATCCTACAAAATTTTCAACTGCAATGAATAAATTTGGAAAATTTGCACTAAGCTATCTGAAATATCTTGTAGACAGAAAAATTAACTGCAACCATTAAATGGGAGCTAATAAAATTTCTCCCTTTCGACTTTGATGTCAACAAACATGTAATTACAATAACAGTATCAATTCCTACCCTACCATCATCAACTGAAAGGAAAAACTGAAGCATAAAAAAAAAAGTAGAGAAAATTTTGCAATAGATGGCAGCTTAGCATACCCAATAATAAAGCACCAAAACTTGAAAGATTATAGGCAACTAATAAATGAAAAGCAAAAGTGAAACAAAGTTGCGAGGGAAAATACGACTTACCAAGTCGAAATTCAAAGCTTTTTCCGTTATTTTCCTGCCAGGATTATGTTAAAGATCGATTTTTTCACGATTCGAATAACAATTAGCAATGCTTTCTGCGCTCAATAGACAAAGGAAAGGAAAATAAAATGAGAAGGTAGCTAAACGGCAGAATTTAGCAGAGAGGCCCAGTAAATAAGAAGCAGCAGTGCCCGATGAGCAACTCTCCGCGAAAATACAACCAGATGTTTTTTTTCCCTGAAATGGACAGCAAGGTTTCTAATTTCTGTTTTCTTTTTGCTTTTCATTACTTTCTCCTTAGCGAAGCACTGATTTCATTTTAACAAACGACTCATCTTTTTTGCGTACGATTTGTCGTCCATGTATCTGCTTCTCTTTGCGGGTTGGTTTGGTTCAGTTTGTACACAATAATTGAATCAAACCTAAGTAGCGGTTTGATTTGGTTTGTTCAATTTGGCGGTTTGGAGAAAGAGAAATCAAACTTTCTCATTCATCTAGTTACAAGAAAAAAAAAGATCAACACTATACTAAGTATGGAAAATAAATTAATACAAACTTGTCATAAAATATACACGATAGATACATATGTACAAGGGAAATGTTGGAGTTAAAAACATTAAGGAAAATTATTTGAACAAAATTAAAAAAAAAAAAAAGAAATTAAATAAAAGCCAAAAGTAAATACAATTATTTTAACTTTTAAGCACTCTCCTGTTCAAATTGAATAACAAGCAACCCATATTAATAATCAAAGATTTCAGAGTAAACTCCTGCAGAGATTGATGATAGACCAGAGCTATAGAGCACAAACTTCTTATTTAGTAGCAGCATTCTTGCCTTGCTTCTCATAGTGATGGTAAATTGATGCACAACCGTCAATGTGGTGGCTTGCGCATGCATCCTATACCAACCAAAAAGAAAAGAAAGTCTTAAATACAAGTAGATATCTTTCAGAAAAGAACATGAGTACACGTATATATACCTGGCATGTATAAGCCTGAGACTTGGCTTAAGAGGAGTCCTCCAACTGCTGTTGCCCACAGCGCTCCTACAATGCCCAAATCATGAAATTTAATTAATTAACCATTCAAAGAAAGCTAATGAGAATAAGCTAATGGGTATAATTTATGAATAGAATGAACATTAGCTGGACAGAGCCGAAGTGTTAAGCAAAGAGGTGGTGGTATTTATAGAGAAAAAAAAAAGGGTTTTCTTGTCTTTGGTGTGGCCCTTTGATTTAGTTTTTTTAACTGTCTGGGGACACATAAACCTAACGGCTCTATTTTCCTGGTTTTGTTACTAAGTTCCTGATTTTGGTACTTTTGATAAGGATTTAAATTAAGAAGCCACAGATGGTCGACATATCATCAGAGTCTTCATTAATCATATAATCATTGTAATAGCATCCATGCACTTCATAAATTTGCATCTGTATTGTCACTTGACTAGTGAAATAGAAGAATCTCAATCCATTAGACAAGATTTCAAGGGTTCATAAACATAAACATAAACATAATATTTAGCTCCGTAAACATAATAGAGAATAGAGATGTTATGTCATGTGAAGTAATTTGGCTTGTAGTAGATTTCAAAGATTCTTGTCTTTCCATCATCCTTGAAAAATGCTTCATCTCAGTGATGCTTTTGGAACTAACCTGGCTCAAATTATACCTCTAAGGTTCTCATCTTTGCTTCAGTCCTTCAGGCTTGGAGCCTTTTGCTTCTCTGCAGCAACTGATCCTCCTGGAGTCACTCAAGCATGGAAAATTTTTTCTCCCTGCATTTGCCAAATTTGCAATGATTATCGGTCTTGCATGACAAATATATGGATATCAGTCAAATATACAGGTTCTAGAAATTAGAAAGTGACCTCAAGCTGCTCCATGCATTGTCAAAATATGAGTTCTTCATTTTCCAACAGTTCTTGTGCACAAAATAAATCAGATTCATACCTGCTCAAGATTTTTTTTTTTCTTTTCCAAACGCTGAAGGAAAAAATTGACTTCTGCTCATGTTAAACTGATACCATTATTTCTGGAGTGTAACACATGTCGCACATTACGGGTAGTAACCTGTGGTCAAGGAGATCATAAATTTCTTCAACTTCAGTTTGAGATCTGTCTCCCACCAAAAATATATGGCTCTTGCCTTTCACTTCTATTTGACTAAAACCAGGTTCTTTCTTCACATTCCTTTCCTTCATCTTCTTCCTCACCTGTGCAAACTCATTCCACTTTCCACATTCTGCATACACATTAGCCAAGAGAGAATAACTTCCGGAGCTATTTGGTTCTTGCTCTATTAACAAGTTACCAATCTCATTTGCCAATCCGACATCCTTATGCAATCGGCATGCACCAAGCAATGCCCCAAGAACAGCACCATCACGCTCATGTGGAGGCATTTCAGAAACTACTTTCATTGCCTTGTTCACCTGTCCTGCTCGACCAAGGATGTCTACAAGGCAGGAATAATGTTCTGCCTTTGGTTCTATACTGTAAGCACAACTCATTGAATCAAAGAGCTTTTGGCCTTTCATGACAAGACCTGCATGGCTACAAGCTGATAACACTCCAACAAATGTAACTTCATCAGGTCTGGATCCAGATCTTAGCATGCGTGCAAAGATTTGTAATGCATGACTACCACAACCATGTTTTGAATAAGCTAATATCATTGCAGTCCACGATACAATATCCTTGGCCTCAAGTTGATCAAAGACAAACCAAGCTGAGAGGACATCTCCACATCTAGAGTACATAGTGATGAGAGCATTAGAAAGCAGTGTGTCATGCTCAAACCCAAGATGAATCACTAGGCCATGAGCTTGCATAAGCTCCATTGTGCTGTCACATGCTGTCAAGACGCTAGTGATAGTAGTCTCATTAGGCTTAAAGTTGTATCGAAGCATGAGGATTAGGTGCTTTACAGCATCGCTTTCCAGCCCATTTCTTGCATACCCATCGATCATTGCATTCCAACTCACAATATTCTTTTCTGGCATCAAATTGAAAATCTCACTAGCTTCATCCATGCTGCCTTGATCAACATATGCTGTGATCATAGCATTCCATGCAGCTATGTCCTTTTTAGGCATCTGATCAAAGTACTCTCTTGCATGCTCAGTCATTCCATTTCGTGCAAGACCTGTAACAATTGTTGTCCAAGAAATAGCATTCCTTTTAGGCATTGAATTAAATAGTTGAATAGCAGCATTTAGCCTATTAGCATTTATACAACCTGAAATCATAATATTCCAAGAATATAGATTCCGCTGGGGCATCTGATAGAAAACCTCAAATGCCTCATCAATTCGGTCATTTTGGATATAAGACTTCACCATAACAGTCCAAGCAACAATGTTTTTCTCCGGCATTTCATAAAAAATATCACGCGCTTCATCAATGCAACCATTTTGAGCATAGCCCGCGACCACAATAGTCCAAGAAACCACATTCTTCTCAGGCATTAAATTAAAAAGCCGAATGGCCTCGTCAATTTTGCCAATATTGAAATACCCAGAAACCAAACTTGTCCAAGAGTACGTATTCCTCTCCACCATGTGATCAAAAACTTCACGCGCCTTATCAATCTGCCCCGCCTTCACATACCCACTAATCATTGCAGAATCAGCAACCATGTTTCTTTCTGGCATCGCCCGAAAGAGCATCTCAGCCTGCGGAAGATTGTTGTTCTTCAAATAAACAGTAATCATGGAAGCATAGGAAACGATGTCTCGTTGCGGCATTTCATCGAACAGCTTCCTTGCATCTTTGACCTTGCCATGACGCCCTAAATTACTGATCTTTGTGTTACACTCATATGTATCAGAAACTATCACCCGCAGTTTTGAACTTCCGGTGATATAAACGGGAATCCTATTCGAGACCCTTGTCGGGTTCAGGTTTGCGAAAGAAGAAAAGCAACTATTTAAATGTCCAACTCTTGGAAATATGACGCGAAGACGAAGTGGGGAGCAGAACACCATGATTATGATGGTTATACTTACAACAATAACTCAGATACAAACCCATGTCAATTGATTGTCAATTTCACTGATCAAGTTCATTGTTGTAGCAATTTCGATTTGCAACTTGTTTTGATTAGTCCGTCTAATTTTGAATATACGCCGTCCACCCTAAAACGACATATCGGTCGTGCAAGCGAAAAGCCAAACTGCGAACAAATCAACCTGTCGTTTCAAAATAATCTTTTTCTAGAAGACCTTATTCTTATAATCTAGAAACAGTATAATGTAAGCAAAATACTATACTTTTGTTGTTATTAGTTATTACTTATTACAATAGTTATAATTAATACAGAATTTTCCAGGAAAAATTTAGTGACACTTTTTATTTATTTACCTATTAAATCCTTTATTTAATAAAATTATATTTATTGTATGCTTCAACCTGTAAAATCACACATTAAATATAATTTTATATAATTTTTTAATTAATGATATCTATGTTTAACAAGTACCAAACACAAATTTCAAAGACTGAATTTTAATTTTAATATCTATGTTTAATAGTCTTGAAATCCAGAGTGTAGGGATATAGTATTTTCTATTTACATTTAGGGCCTTAAAATATTCATTAATCCATATACAGAAAGTGAACAAGGAGCAAAATATAGAAGCCGAATGATTTATTTGAAACAGCAAGCAACATATACGATTATCAAGTTCCAGACAACTTGGAAGAGCAGGTACAAAACTTCAATTTTCTTTTAGTAAATTAGACCCTTCCCCATTACAAACTCCCCCATGTAAATATAAAGTACTGTTGGAGAAAAGTCCTAGTAAAGATTGTTGGTAGATAGAAACCATAGCAGAGACTTCTTATTTGTTAGGAGCATTAGTAACACCGGAAGCCACATTCTCTTCTTGCTTCTCATAGTAATGGTAAATTGCAGCACCTGAGAGAACTGCCAATGTTATGGCTTGTGCATGCATCCTACACCAATCAAAAATCAAAATTTAAAAAAAAATATGGAAGGAGACCAAGTGGAGCCTCAATACGATATAGATATATGGAGATATATATATACCTAGCATGTATAAGCCTGAGACTCGGCTTAAGAGGAGTTCTTGTTCTTGTATAAGCTAATGATCCTCCAACTGCAGTTGCCCATAATGCTCCTATATGCAATACCCAGATCAAGAAATGAGTTAATTTATAGAAACTGAAAGAAAGATAATAAAAGAAATGGGTTATTAGTGTTATAATTACGTGTACTAACCAATGCTAGTGAGCTTGTGCTTTGAAACCCAAGACTGAAGTCCTTCCATCTCTTCGATTTCTTAATCTTCTTCTTCTTCTACCAAATAATAATGGCTTTCAGTGAAATGAATATTAGCTTAGGCTGGGTGGAAGTGACAAGCAAAGGAAAGATGGGCATTTATAGAGAAAAAGATGGATAGATTGGTGAAGTTGAAACATGTGGGTTTGGTGTGGCCCCCTGATTTAAAGTCTTTTTTCACTTTTCTTGGAACACTGGAACGCTAAACTACAGGCTCTGGTTTCCTGGTTTGGTTACTGCATTTCTGATTTTTTGGTATTGATCATATTGTCTCAGCCATTAGATTTGGGTTCAAGTATTCAAATCATGGAGCTAAGCTACAGATGATTGACACGTGATCAGCACTGCAGAGTGCAAATGGGCTTTCACCTGAAATGGTTTCTCTTTTTAGGTATTAGTTTTCAACTCTATATCTTTCAATCAAGCTTCTTTATTTGATTGGTGTCTTGGGATAATTAATTAACAAAATACACAGATAGTACTATTTGAAAAATTTAAGTCACACTGTAATTAAGCCTATGCTTTCCTTTAATTGTATACTAAATAACACCACTGCATGGCCTTGGTTGATGTTAAATTGATTTTTTTCGGTAAATCGTCTGGTATCTGATACAATCGATTAATTCAGATTCAAATTCTGTAGAGGCCCGTTATGAAATCACCTTTTGAGAAAGTTATTTTAGAAATCCAGTGCCTCATCTATCTGAACCAATTGATAGTTGGTTTTCTTTTTTTTCTTTTTTTAATAATGATAATTCCAGAGTTTGAGCTCTTCACACATGCTATAGATAAAATTTATACCAATCGGACATATAAGGAGAAACACATTTTTTCATTCACAATAATTGAATATTCGAATTCTTGTTTAAGAGACTCAGAATGTTTTTTACTTAGATGGAATTTAGTAACGTTGGATCTATACCATATTAAAAGGGTTCTTATTGTCTTGCGATTTCCAAAAGAACTTTTAATACTGGCAGGGAAAGTGTGGAATCTGAAGACAATACAACATAAGCACGTGCAAATTTTCTTTTTTTTTTTTTTTAATTTAATCAATTATAAATTAAAGAATATATGATCTGCCGACTAAACCATTGTAGCCGTTTGATTTGACACAGAAATATGTGTCTGAGTTCAGGTCACCAACTAGCAAGAAAATTTATGCTACGTATTGATGTATATAAGTGTAAGAGTAACCTAACCTCTGCTATCTTTATTCGCACTGAATGGACCTATAAAAAAATAAATCGGTTGATTGTTCAATGTTCAAACTCGATACTTTTAAATATTAAAAGAGATGTTATTATTTCATCTCGATAGTAAAATTTCAGAATTGTTAATTAAATTACAAACTCGATACTTTTAATTAAAATATTAAAAGAGACGTTATTATCTCATCTCGATAGTAAAATTTCAGAATTGTTGATAATAAATATCAGGTATGAATTGTGAGTTCAAATCATTGCACATGCTTATTTAAGATTATATTCAACGTTTATTAACCAATCGGAAACACTTATAAGAGAAATTATAACACTAAAATGTTTTTCATTATATAAACTCATTCTAATTGAATATTCGAAAGTTCCTTGGTTTATAATGTGATAACTCGTGTGAACAAATTGTTTTTTATTATAAGAAATAGGAATATATGTTAATATTTTAGGTTAATCTGATAATCGCGAAACTCGCCTAAAAACTTTTAAAATAACCATGATATCGTATAATGAAAGGGTTTCGTAAAATTGTTTCTTGTACGTAATATTCAACTAATAATCCTCATACTTCTTCTTTTACTATGGCAGGTGATCCATGTGGAATCTGAAGAACAATACAACATAAGCCCAGCGTGTGCGATTAGATTGTTTTATCGTAATATTAATATCTTCTTAATTTTAATCAAATATCTTATTGTTCCAAGATTCACTTTTTATATTTTTATATTATGCGTTGTTTGCCTTGAAACTAATACCTATATGCTGTATGACCTGTTTTTGATTTGTTCCCTTGACACAAGAAATATGTATGCCTTTCAGATTTTCAAAACGTGTTTCACGAGCAACTTTAGACAATAGCAGTTATTTTTAATGACTTAGTTAAAACATGTAACGTCGAGTTTTGATGCTCATTTCATAAGTGTTGTTTTATAAGTGAATTAACGTTAAATTAACCCTAATACCTTTTCTAGCATAATCTATTATAATCGCCATCTAGATAATTTTCGTTATCTCTATAAAACTAATAAAATCAAATTCAGGGGTTGGATTGATTTCATTATGTTTAACTTTCTGTATACTTCTATAAATATAAAATGAGATTGTCTCTGTTTATTTCAATTCTCTAATATGGGATAGTAAATTTCCTATAATTGTTATACTTATAAAAATTTTCTATAAACGTTTCGTATTACGTTATATTATAAATATTAAAAGAGACGTATCTTAGCTCATGTCGATTCAGTTAATTTTCAGGAATTGATAATTTAAAATTACGAATCTATAAAAACTCATAAAATTTCAGAATTGTTAATTAAATTACGGAATCTAAAAACTCATAGTTTTGTTTTTTTTTTCCACTTCTTCCCTACTGTAAACAGTATGCTGCATTTGGGTTTGAATATTTATTCAAAGGGTAATAAAAGGTGTGAAGCTTCTTCTAGTTCCATGCTGAAGGAAATGCCAGATATGGGAAAGAAACAATGTGGTTTTGTGTGAAACAAGGGGTGCAAAATGGGTTCTAATGGGCATTTTCAAATTTGCACTTTCTTGTTTGAATAATTGAATGGATAGTGTATTATATTCTTAACAGGATTATAAACCTCCCAACCTATGGTAAATGCATCATGTAATAGAATAGATTAATTATAAAATCACATGGCATTATTAATTTTTAATATTTTAATATAATTAGTTAATATAATATATTAATATAATTAGTTAATATAATATAATATTTGTTAATATAATATTTAATTAGTTAATCTAATAATAATATTTTATTGAATGTATTGAATATTAATATTTTGAAAATAGATTCTAAATCTAGATATTAAATATGTAACCTGGGCTGGGGGGGTGCCCAAGTGTTATTTTTGGTTATTTACTAAAATCTCCCTTTGGAGGAGAAGGATGGATTGTTAGTGTGGACGATTTGGAAGATATAATTGGAGGGCATGTATAGTTAGGTTCAATCAAAAGTACTATGTGAAATCTTCGAATCTTCGGTTTTTTTCTCTCTTTCGCTATCCCTATCCCTAGGCTAAAGCGTTTGATTATCCATACAGAGAAACTTTTTTCTTATACTCTCCTTATTATCTGTATGATCGATTATTATTACATTTCCAATTCCTTCCGGGACAACCTCCCAAGGAACACAATTCCGAATGGATCCAAAATGACGGAGGGCTGGGTTAAAAGCTTATTAGTGTTTATACGTCATCATAGTTTTATGCACTCTTCGAATAGGAATCCATTTCTGAAAGATCCTGGCTTTCGGCTTTGCTGAGGTCTCCGAGATCCCTTTCGATGACCTAATGTTGTGTTTGAAGGGATATCTATATGATCGATCGATTGCGTAACAGCCGAATCACGGATAGTGTTCCCTAGCTAGCTATATCGAGCGTTAGCGAAACGAAACCGGGGAAAGATGTTGTGTTGAAGGGATATCTATATGATCCGATCGATTGCGTAAAGCACGCGGTAGCAACGGAACCGGGGAAAGTATACAGAAAAGACAGTTCTTTGCATAAATATTTGGAATTGATCATCAATTTAATGTCCGCGGAGGATTATGAATGAGATCTCCTAATTAATTTATCGAGATTCTATATATGTAAAATATATATTTTTTCCATAAAATATAATTAGAGTTAAATCCCTAATAAATTTTTATATTCTATCAACTACAAACAGCCTCAATTGATGAGTATAAAACATTTTCTTCATTTTCAACTTATTCATCTAAATTACTCGTTATATGTTAGCCTTAAAAATCAAAGCCCAATGGACATTTATTCCTCCACCTAATGGATATAGGGGGGCGACTCAAAACTTTTATCTCGGCCTTAGGTGGGAATTGGGCTCGGTGTTTGGAGCCCATTTATGTTTCTCCTTTAAGAGTAACCGACTTAAATCTCGTAGCTTCCTGGGAGAAGTAGAAATATCCAGACCAGACCCGTTCCCCACAAGAACAGAGATTTTCCCGCCAATTCAAAATCTTGTTTATCTTCCTTAATACTCAATTCTGAAACAAGAAAAGAAGGCCAATTCTCTACTGAAAATGGGAAACCAGCAAACGATAACGAAAGTAATGGAAGGAGGTACAAGGAACAGAAGTATTAGTACTAATAGCAGTAGAAATCCACTCTCAGATTGCACCAACACCATTGATGCTTTAAACTCTTCTCAATCATCATCCACTCCAACACAAAATTCTTCTTCCAGTATCAAACCCGGTAAGTTGTTGACCCCAAAGACTAACAATATCAGTGCTTCTACAAAATCTAGTGAATCCCAAGCTAACAACGAGAACAGTCCGTCAAACCCTAGTGCCGTTTTCGTTCCCTCCATTACCACGTCTCCTCGGACTGCAAAAGCCTCCTCTCTTGAAGGTATTTTGCTGCTGTTTTCTCTAATCGGAGTTTAATTTGTGGGTTTTGTGATTTTTATTTGAATTACTAATTATTTAGTTTATGAATAATTTTTGCTACAGTACTACTCTTTTGGGTTTTTGTAATGGAGCAGAATTGGCTTCTTTGAATGGCTTGAGATGCAATATTTTATGTTTCTGTGGTGTGCTATGATTTTATTAGATAATAAATATGGGTAATGGATCTGTTACATTGGCCAATTTAGTAATGAGCCACCCTAGTTTAGTCCTGTCCGATTTATACTCTTTTAAGGGCTGTTAGTACAAAGTTGCAGCTGCATCGACCATTATAGGTTTGAAATAATGATATTTTAGGTTTTAGCTTTCTGGTTGCATTGGTAGTTTGTAATGACATTGCCTTATTATCTGTATCTTTACAATTTTTAGCCTGATGGGCATTTTTTTTCCTTATGACGTGATGGTAGGTACTGCTACTCATAATAATTCTGAGCTGTCTTCTGTTTACAATCGGAGACAGTCTGAGAACACAAGGAGGAGTAAAAGGAAGGCAGTTGCTGAGCCTATGAGCTGCTTTCCTGCAGCAAAGACTCGAGTTACTAGGTAAAATTTTTGGTCACTTCTTGATTTTTTTATTTCTATTTTTATTTTTCAATTTGACTAAGAATTGATGAAGTAGAAGTATGCGGTTTTATTTTGATATGAAAGTAGACGGATGAATGTTTCTAGTGATGGATGGATCAATCATTGTTTTTTTGTGTGACTTAGAAAATGCTATCATGATCTTTAAATGTAAAGAAACAAGTAGTATCACTTGGTGAAATGAGTGCTGAAATCATGTCTCTAAATTGCCTTTTGAGATATTTATCAGTTGTGCCTTTGTGAATGAATTGCGGTTCAGCCATTCTAGCTGCTTAAGAACTAGACGTTTATGGTAGAGAATTGTTTGGTTTTTGCTTATGATAAATTGGAAGTGTGTTTATCTCTATTTCAATATTGGAAGTATAAACTGAGGGAATAAAAATGGTCTAAATAAGTGAAGTTATACGACACAGTTTTTATTACTTATTCTTATTAATTATTAATTTAAGTATTATTAATTATTAATATTTTTTTAATATTTTTTTATTGTTTAATATTTAATTATTGTATGTAATATTAGGTTTCTATTTTCTATTAGTTTTCTATTTTACCCGCGAGGGTGAGCTAACTCCAAAAACCCGTCCTCAGTTCGGATTGCAGGCTGCAACTCGCCTACATGAAGCCGGAATCGCTGCCGGTCAGCCATACGGCAGTGAATTTGTTCCCGGGCCTTGTACACACCGCCCGTCACATTAAACTGAGGGAATAAAAATGGTCTAAATATCTGAAACTAGGGTCACTTGCTAAGTTAGCTTTATTCTCTATTCTTAGTCTCTCTTATTTCTCCTTGTGCTTTTTTAGATTGGACTTGATTTTTTTTTTTTAATATATTGAGCTGTACTAATATGCATATATTAGTAGATATTAGTTGAGTTTTTCTTGAGCTCCCTGACAGCACAACTGGTTGCACTCAACACAAATATTAAGGACCTTGAAATTGATGTTTATGGCTTCTAATCATCTGAAAAGTGAGCAACTGGAATATAAAATTTTCTTAACAACCTCAACGTTGAAGATAGAATAGAGCCACTTAATTTAACTAACACTATATAATATATTGCTTTATCTTTACATTTTGTACTACTTGCCCATTCTGTCTCTTGAAATTCCCAAGACTGATGAAGCCAAATATTCTGGTCTTACCTGCAATGTAGGGATGAAATGAATGAAGGTGAAGGTACCCGTCTAACCAAATCCTGTACACTGCCTTACAAAAAGGTTTGGAGATCTTTGTTGTATCTGCTCTCCCATCATTTTTTTTACTATTGAAAATTTTTCATTGGGCCTGCGGATGCAAACATGTCTTCCCCATTATTAATCAATGTATTATTTGTTGCTGAGTTTCATTAGTGAGAAAGTTTTCTTGCATTTTTGTATTTTTGTTTACCAATGTGATTTCTGTGCTTACAAGGACCTGTGGTGAGTAATATCCATATCATGACTGCTTTCCTCTGTTGATTTTGCCCTCGGAAATTCTTGTACATACTTAGGAAATATTGTTATCTGATTTTGGAACTATCATATTTCTTTTCTTCTCTGGATCGTGCTTGGGTTGTGAGCTTTCATATCATTTTCTAAATTGCAAAATTGCTTCTCCTTTAAAGTAGTCAATCTGTGTTCTTTGCTGAAACTGTGAAACATTTTGTAATAATTAGAGTTAAATGTTGATTTTAGATTGTAATGTCCTGTTTTCTGTTTCATCACATCATTTCTGATAATAATATTTTCTGTTTACTCTGCCCCTGCATTTAAGAAGGGGGTCCATATTAACAGTTGTTTAAATAAATTTTCAACCTCTCCATGATGTTGTTGCAGAAGCGACGTCAAACTACCCCAAAAGAAGATCTTGCCAATAATGCCCTGCCACGAGACTTTATTGAGCAGCAAAGAGCTTATTTTGCAGAAATAGATGCTTTTGACCTGGAAGAGGAGGAAGTTTCTTCAATCAATGAGTTGGACTGAGTGAATGTGAGACTGGGTACATAATTCAGGTTGAGAAAAGAAAGGCACCCTAACCCTGGAATTTTCTGTACATAGTTGAGAATTCTTTAGTTGATATATCTGGTGTAATAGCAGCCTAACAAGTCATTTGATCTAAGAGCTGGATGCTCTCTGTTATAGTCCAATGTACATGGAGAAAACGATGATTTATCGAGTAGAAAAGAGAGCATTTCTTTTTCTAGATGATAGACGGTATATAATTTTGGAGAATGAAGTCTTCAAATACACTAATATTGCAGTTTTTTCATTCCCATATTCGTACATTGCTGAATATAATCTTTAGTGATGCTATTCATACTTCTAATCCCCAATTACATAAGCCACGACGGATTTTCAATTTACTCTTCTGCAATTTTTTCTTACCTGTCCATGGCTTCCAGTAAGGGGCTTAATATTACTCATCTTGACCATAGCTTGGGCAAAATCTTTGAAGAATGTGAATGGTTTACTCGCATATTTTCTAACCAGAGAATCAGCAGATCTTCCATTGAAGAGTTCTTGGTCTGAATGGAGAAGACCTTTCTTGTTCAACAGGTTCTTATAGTACAGATTATCAAAACGAGTTGGAGTTTGGCGATCGAGGGGTGCGAGTACATTATCCTTCCCACTTCTAGGGCAAATCTGCTGCAATGACTTTGCAAAAGATGGATCAATATTAGAATCGTTGTAGATGTGCCCTCGATACGATGTGCACCTGGCAAGCCCTATGGTGTGTGAACCTGCCGATTTTCCAGATGAGCAATGTTAGTTTCCAGCTAAAATTGTTAAAATTCCTCAGGTTTTAGACCACTTTACCTGATAGAGCCACCATGTCTCTTAAAGAAAGACCTTGTGCAGAGAAGCTAGTTATAAGTGCACTTAAATTAGAAGTCGGTGGAGGGATAGATGTATTTGCAAGTGCTCTGCTTGCAGTTAGTGAATCTTTTCTTCCCAGACCAACTTTCCAAGAAGGACCCCCTAACTGCAGATTATGCAGGAAAAAAAAAAAAGTATCTGATCTACTAAACTACTACAAAATAAAAAACTGAGAAACTAAATTTGCTAATTTGTCAGATAATATAATCTGAAACTTACATAAACAGCCGAGTCTCGAGCTGCGAGGGCAACAATATCAGCGCAGGAAACAACACCAGGACAAGCTTTTTCTAACTTAGATTTAATGTCATCAATGACATTAAATCCTCTGACTGAGTTATTATTAGGAGCTGCTGTTTTCTCTCCAATGAAGGTCGCATTATCATCCAACAAGATCGACCCATCGCAGCCCTACAACGACAAAGATGATACTAGCTAGTACGATGATCTTTAGTTCATAAAACATAAAAGCACCAAATTTAGAATACTTACATTGACAAAGCAGTCATGAAAATGCAATCTCAGTAAAGATGCTCCTATGCGAGTCTCATTTTTTATTGCCTTTTTAACTCCAGCTTCAACTACAGACAACGCTTTCGGGCATGTACGTGAGTAATAATCCGGCGAAAGCTTGCCGTTGGAGACTGAAAATGAACAGGCAGCGACCAGGAAGAGCAAGAGGATGCTGTGAAATGCCATGAAAAGAAAAGTTGTAATCTAAGAACATTGCATAATATTTCCCAGCTGGTGTTAATAATAAAACCAAGTCAAGAACAGTCCAATATATCACTATGAAAAAGACTTATCTTTTCATGATCTAACAGTGATAATAACAGTGAGATAGATAATTAATAACGTCTAATTATCTTAATCAAGCCAATAAAATAAATTAAAATAGAAACTTTACAAATTTGACAAATATTTGTCCTAGCTAATAAAGAGTTCTTTGAATTTTTCAATCATAGTTCTCAATTATATGTACTATAAGATTCCCAGTACTGTGGTTGTCTGTAGTTGGATAAATAGTTCATATTGGATGTATAATTGCACCATGCATGAAGGGTCCCTGCAGACTCCTCTTTAGGGAACCTGATTTCAGACTTCGTTGTTTATATATCATTTCTTCCATTATTTATTTTTCTTTTTACCCCCTAATGAAGTTAAGATAAAGAAAAGGTTTGCTTTCGAGGATTGTTTATTACTTTATTCTTGTTTTTGAAGGGGAAGCAACATAATGCTTTGAAGGATCAAATAATTTTTAATCAATGATTAATTATTATCACTAATACTACTGATATGTTTAACATTACATGCATGCAATTTGGATTTCTGTTTTTAGGAAATGCGTTTTGACTGTTTAATTCTCTTTTTTAGTTCCAGGCAAGGCCATAACACTAATTTATTAATAGGAGATTCAATCAAATCATTTCATTTTTAGCTTACAACTAAAAATATATTGATTTAATTTATGGATACTAAAATTCTTCTCGAATGATTCTAAATATTATTTTATATTAATCAGGTATGATCAATTAGTTTTTTCATTCATATGAACAGTGAGACGTCTTGAATTCAAATCTTCTGCTCATAATATTATTTTGATTTAAAAACAATTCGGATCACCAACTAATTGCCTATAAACATTTTTTTTTTTTTGTTTCACCCTTGGGTCTTTATTATCAGTAGAAACAAAAAAGCTAAACCAAAAAGAAATCAAGAACGCAAGGGTGCTTGAATTTACTGGGTCTCCATCAGAGGCCTAGTGAAGGCATTGTCCCACCAAATTACCAACCTATGTGACACTAAAGCCCAAGAACTACTTGGGCTTGAGCTTGGATACTTCAATATTTCCGAGGAAACTGTTTTAATCCTAAGTTCACCAAACAATATGGATTGGGATATATGCTCTTCCACACAATATTGCTTTTTCCTTTTTAATATCAAAATTTCTTTTTCTTTTTCTTTTCTTTTTTTTTTTTGTTTGATATCTAATGGAAAAGAAAGAACCTAAAACTTTGTATAAATGGAAGACAATTACCGTCCTTTGTTCGGTTTATAAATGGAATACCAAGTAATAAAATTATTATTTCATGGAATAGAATATTCATAATTCACTCATTATAGAATTTGTGTTCCATAGGTTTGAAAATTTATTTATTACATATATAGAAATTCAAACTAATACTTTGTTTGGTCAATGAAAGTGGAATATAAAGGAATATATATATATATATGACATATCTATTCTCCATCTATTGTAAAATTGTGTTGCAGAAAATTGAAAAATATCTGTTAATTTATATATTCATTCAACTAAAAACATAAGGTTACGAGTTCACTATATTGTGGAACGTGATTGATTTGTCTAGACTCGGTCTATGTTAGTCCACCCATAAATCAAAACAATGAAAAAGGTAGCAAGCTGGTTTTAACAAGTTACAAACGGAAACGGATCCTTTAATTCAGTACTATAAGGAATTTTGAAATTTTATAGTCTTTGCAAGAAGATTACACAAGGTTTATTTATTTTAGATATTTAAGGAGACTACATTGGCATAAACACTTTATGCATCTATGAGAACTTCTATTTCATGGGGATAGAGAGTGATGCCATAGTAACTTACAAACAAAGATTCTTCATTATAAAGAGTACTCTGAAATGCAAGTTAGAGAAACACAATTCTAACTCTTAATTTAATGAAAATGTACCGTTTTGATATATAGCATCCAAAACCTTCATTATCCTATGAACTCTAGAGATCATAAACTCATTTATGAATCCATTTCAACATGGACTTGTTCCTATTTCTAGTCACTGTTCTTATTGCAAGTTGCAGAAGAAACCCTCAACTTGTCCAACTCATTGTCACCCACAAATTGATTGTTCAATGGGAATCAACGGTGATTATAGATTGATGATTTATCTTCATTTCTTTAGCTGCTGTGTACATTTTTGGCCTCTCCAACCTCTTCTTGTTAAAAAAATTTGGTTACTGTAACCAATAAGAAAACTCAGAAGACCCACGCATCCAAACGAAGGGACAAAGAGAAATGTGCTCTCTATTTAGGCCATAAGCTAGCTTTGACCATACCAAATTTAAAGGTGACGAATAATTACGGGTACCAATAAGATTATTGAGTTTCAGTCTTGTTTGGAATCTTTGCTTCAAGTTTTTCTTTTCTTATTTGAACAATAGTCATTGATAGGTCCATCTTCTAATAATTTGTCCCTTATTGGACAAAGACTTCTGTAAAAGAGAGCCTTATCATGAAATGAAACTTGTGGGTCTTTTAATTATTTAGGGTTGTTGTCAGAATGACTTGTCTCACAATAAGCACAAAGAAGAGGGCACCCATTCTTCCAACAGAGGTATTAACCAGTGTAGGGTTGCTCTTACTAATAAGGGGTTGTACATATGCCCTAAATGCCATGCAATTTCTGTTCTTGATAATTAAGATGTTGTTTAATGAAAACCCATGAATAAGAAGTGTCATAATAGGTACTAAAGAGAAGATTTGGTCCAACAAATTACTATCATTATTTGTACTAAAGAATGGAGATTATACGAGAAAAGCATGCACATTTGGACCCCCATCAAGAGGTTACCCTCTAATTTACATGTGATGGCATTGCCCCATCAATTCTTGGCCGTATTTGGCAACAGAGCATTGGATAACATAGAGTTTGAACTAGTTTCTAGAGATTAATGTAGCGTTTTATAAAAAATTAATTCATGTAACGTTTAACTTTTAACGTTTTTTTTTATAAAAAGTTACTCAAACAGCTAACAGTTAAACGCTACTAAAACACGTAATAATTATCAAAACATCTAATTTTGTCAAACAGAGCCTTGAAAGAGAAGAAGATACGTAGAATAAGATACCAAAATCATCTTTTCATTTAAAAGATGGGATTCCTATTTGATAGTTATCATAATATAAGACAAACTAATGCTAGTGATGATGAGACTCAATTAATATGTATGCTTTCATCTTATTGGTCTAAAGGAACAAATCAAAAACATTATATCTTGCTAATCATACTAAATAATCTGGAGCCAATTTCATGTCATCCAATGAATGGAAAGGATTTAACATTTTTCGCCATTGTGTGCAATTAATTCAATATGCATAATCATGTCACACACTATGCTATTTCACCTGAATATCTTAACACGAATGGAGGCAATTTACCCTATAAATCATGTGGTTGGAATCCGTTGACTTAAATATCCAAAGCATTGATCTCCTATTTTTATACACGTAGTTTCAGACTCATGGTACGGACTTATATAAAGTCTTTACAATAATTATCAATTTAAATTTTGAATTTTTATTAAAAAATGCAGTCTATTTTATTGATTCAACCGTCTATTAATCACTTTCTAGATTCTTTTGTAGTTCAAGATTCAAAAAAAGATCAGCATCTTGCATTTAAAATGGAGGATGATTGGTCGATCTCGAAGCACCCCCAACCCAGGGAGGGTTCTACCAACAAGCAGCCAGCGAGGTAGAAATGTGGTCCATGTTGGCTTTGCATAATTTATTATTGACATTTCCCCTGCATAATTTGCTCTTTTGAGTTGGAATGATGTTGATATTCCAGATCAGCAAGTTGTAACAAGTTAGCTCTTTTACTTCTTTTTATGTTAATAGATAATGTTAAAAAAGAAAAATGGGAGATATGAGACATATTTAAGATAAAAGAAATATTACGTAATGAATATGTGGTTTGGATCGGTGAAAATTGATTTTATATCTGAGAAAACTAGTATTGATTAGGTCGTTCTTGATTCGAGAGTATAAATTAATCCCATATATAAGAATATTGGCTTCAATTTTTATTCCCACAAAGGCACATCAAATGCTAATTTAAGATTCTTCTCCTTCAACTTTTAGATCATATGGTTTCATCCTTTGAAAAAAATTGATCCAATGGATGGCAAATATAGATAGCTTTTAAGTCTTCATATGCAAGAATTATGGCTCTTTTTGTGTAGATTGAGAATACCTACTTTAGGTCTAGGTACTATTTGTATTACCACAACCACATGTGCAGTGAAGACAAGTGAACATAAACACATGATTCAGTGTCTCATTGCTTGCCATAGAAAATATATGCTCTGCAAATTGTAAAAAGTATATATCAAGTGGTCAACTCCACAAGATGGTTTATGGGGTTTAATTATTATTTAAGGAGTAATTAATTTCTGAATGAATATAATAATATAGTGTGAAGTGAGCATTAAATATGTTGAGAATTGTGCGAATCAAGTAGTAATCTGATCAATTTAATGAGTTAAGAGGAGGGCTATCCTTTTTTGAGAATTAAAAAAATATTGACAAGCTAGATATCAAATGTTGAGAATTGCATATTTACTAGATATAAGTTAAACTAGCTAATTGATTAGTATGAATCTTTTAGCATTAGTTGGTCTAAATCCAAGTAAGCCCACATTACATATTTTCATCGATTCTAACCTCTTATCCAATTCACATCGGTGCTAAAGCTATGGTCTGATTAAGTTATTTCTCATTTCACCGTCGTTTAGATGTTTAATCTGAGCAAGACTCATTTAATTTCAAAAAAGCCCAATTGAATTTTTTAGCACTGATTGAGCAAATCCAAGTAAACTAACTTGGTCAAGTAGTTAAAACGCACTAGACCCCTTTGAGGTGATTACATAATTTAGCTATAGAGTCTTTATTTTGGAAATGACTTTTGACTAGTCGCTTTGGAAGCGAAAATGATTAACATTTCATCCAATTATTAAATGGGGATGAAAGGATATCTTTGTTATAAAGATAATTTTAAATATAATAGCTACAAAATATATTCTAAATCCACATAGGGCAAGTCGGGCTCGCAAGGGCAGATGGTGAAGAGA